CTTTATGCTCTGTCCAAGCCCTCCCTCCTAGCCTACATATGTTATCAGTAGAGCAAATTCGGACACAAGCAACCATTTTCCAATGGAATGCAAGGGGTCTCCGCAGCCGACTATCTGACTTTCGACAATTTTGCCATAAGTACCGATTTCCTATCATGGCCTTGTCGGAGTCAAACATTGCTAGTGATTTTCGTCTATCCGGTTACGAGGTTTTTCACTCGACGCGAGGTACAGCTCCAAGTCGAGTACTAGTCGCGGTTCGGAAAGACCTTACCTATATTTCTCACGCCCTTCCACCTGACGCTAACAACGAGTACGTAGCGTTGACTGTCAAAAACGATCACCGTATATTCACCATAATCGCGGCGTATATTCCGCCAAATACTCAGTTTAACACCCAACGTATTAACTCTATTATTGACAACACTCCTTCTCCGCACATCCTAACGGGCGACTTTAACGCCCATCACCCCTTATGGGGAAGTGTGAAGACAACTATACGGGGAACCTCACTTGCGACACTTACCCATCAGCATGGCCTCTTTTCGCTGAACGATGGAAGTCCTACTTTTTTCCGTGGAACTACGATGAGTAGCTGCTTGGATCTGACATTTGCTAGCGCAGGTCTTTCGAATTTAATTACGTGGTTCACAGACATCGAATGCCATGGGAGTGACCATATTCCAACTTACACTCTGCTCAAGGGATTTGGGTCAAATAATGAATCCTATCCAATTAGGCGCACCGATTGGTCTCTCTTTAAAATTAACTTTGAAAACGCGTGTGATTCATTCGACAGCAACGAAGAGTTTTTTAATGGCATTCAAAAGGTTGTGAAGCAATCCACGAAAACATATAACCTGCCTCGAACCTACCCTGTCATCGATGCAGAATATGAACGACTTCGCGCGCTTCGAATAAGATGCGAGCGAAAGGCTAGAAAAACACACGACCCTGAAGATCTGCGCAAAACGAGACGCCAACAAAAACGTATAAAACGTCACCTAGACAAACTGGCGAGGCGCCGTTGGAGGGCTCACTGCGTAACTTTAGATCCACGCAGGCCTCTTCCTCAGATATACAACCTAGCACGGAGCTTGCGGACACCACCCCACCAACGTCACCCTTTCCGGGCACTTGCACTCAAACAAGATGTTTCGGAACTAGTTTTGGCTGAAGCCTACTGCAAAAAACTTACAGAAAATGTTGCGAATCCGGTGGCAACACTTGTTAAACTTCATAGTCGGATCCGAGCGTGTAACCACATGGACGTATTATTTGATGCTCGTGAACTGGAAGATGCACTTTCCGGATTGAACTACTCGTCTTCTCCCGGACCGGATGGTATAACTTACTCAGCATTAGCTCATCTTGGTAACAATGGTAGACAGAGGCTCTTAAAACTTTACAACATTTCATGGGAAACTAGCCAGGTACCCCGGGGTGGAAAACATCGCGCATCATACCTATCCTTAAGCAAGGTAAATCACCTCTGGACATATTATCTTTCCGTCCAGTCGCGTTGTCTTCTTGTGTCGGCAAAGTGATGGAAAAAATGATTCACACACGACTAGAATGGTACCTTGAACAATCTGAGATATACCCTGAGTGTATGGCAGGCTTCAGACGAGGGAGGAATGCCCTGGACAACGTCATTGATTTCACAACTAGCATCCAAGAACAAAGGAAGTGTCGGCGAATCACTACCGCTGTATTTCTAGATATAAAAGGCGCGTTTGACTCAATAAGTCACAAGGCTATCCGTGACGCCCTAAGCTATGCAGGAATAGAAGGACGTCTCTACGCGTGGATATTAAGCTACTTAGATAGTCGAACAGTTCACATGCTGACAGCAGATGGGAAAACGACTGAGCATACTGTGTTTCGAGGCGTGCCGCAAGGCGGAGTTCTCAGTCTTACACTTTTCAATATTACCCTCCTGGCACTCGTAAACAAACTTCCCCGGGGCGTCAACATTACACTTTACGCGGACGACATCTGCATATGGACGTCATCAATTACGCAGCGATTTAATCGAATCCGCTTACAGAAATCACTTCAGATCATCTCCAGCTACTTACAACACCGTGGACTATCTCTATCGCCATCAAAGTCAGCTGCTACGGCTTTTACCAGAAAGAGTACTCATAGGTACTGTCTGACAGTTGATGGTCATCCCATATCATATGTGAACACGCACAGATTCCTGGGAATAGTTCTGGACAAGTCTTTGACATGGACACCGCACATAAAACAAATGAAAAGAAAGCTTCTCGGCATTATTCAGCTCATCCGATTCATTAGTGGCACTAAGTGGGGCGCCTCTGTAGCCGCCCTTCTTCAACTATATAACGCCCTTTTTGTCTGCTTCCTTCGATACAGCCTACCGGTACTTCATGGGATGTGCCGTACAAATATAAGAGCATTGAAAGGTATGCAGGCTCAAGCTCTACGAGCCTGTCTAGGGCTCCCAAGATGCACCTCAAATGTCGGAACTGTAGCTGAGGCAGGGGCTGTTCCGATTGGCGCGCTGAGACTTCAAGAAACCCTTCGAGCGCACCTCCGCCACCTCACAAGGCACAAAGACCACTACCTAGCAGACATCGGAAACAGCAGAAGCGCGTCTGGTTTTTCCCAAATCGTGAATGTTGACAACGCGGATCTTCCCCGAGACTTTGAACCAGCAGAGTTCTCGTTGTTACCACCATGGATATATCCAGTAATTTCTATAAAATTAGATGTTCCAGGGATACATTCAAGAAAGCATACTCCAACGGAGGTATTGAGGCAACATTCTCTAGAAACCATTAATACGCATCACCGTTCCCGAATTCATGTGTACACTGATGGGTCTTCTACTCGTGAAACTTCCAGCTACGGCTTTGTTATACCATCAATAAACAAAATACTCCAGGGAAAGCTAGGCCATGTAACATCATCGACGGCAGCAGAACTAGTAGCGATTAGAGAAGCAATTCACTTTATTTCTACGAGTGCCCCAAACAATTGGTCACTCTTTACTGATTCAAGGGCAGCCCTTCAAAGCCTTAAATCTACCAAAAGCAAGAACATTAATGCTCAGCTTGTACATCAGACCTTAAAAATTCATAAAGAGGCTATAAATAATGGTCACACACTAATTTTACAGTGGATCCCGAGCCATTGCGGTATTAGAGGCAACGAAAGTGCTGACTTGGCAGCCAAGAATGCGCATCATCTTACGTCCAAACTGGTAATTCCATTTTCACGTTCAGACGCCAGAGCTACAACCAACCGCATTACTGCGGCTCTAGTAAACACCCTCTGGGCGAATCCATTATATCACTACAGACACCTTCATAACATTGACCCCTTTCTTACCTTTCGCCCTCCCCGGGGGCTCAAACGTCGGACAGAAACCGCTCTTCACCGAATACGACTGAACGTGGCCTCAACAAAATATTATCTAAATCTCAACGGTCAGCTGGACTCCTCCATCTGCGAGAGCTGTGACGTCGTAGAAACGCTGGAACACGTTATTTGTCACTGCGCCCTCTACGCTGACCAAAGAAAGGAAATGATAAGCTCCCTGACTCTTCACAACGGAGAACCGCTTACGCTCAATCATCTCCTGGGACCATGGCCATCAACATTGCAAGGAGTCAAGCCGACGAGCTCATTGATTCGTTTTCTCCAAACGACTCAACTTGATCAAATACTGTAGGACACCCTCCAAAAGTAACTGACAGCCATCCTGAAAGTTTTCTTTCTTTCCTTTTCTTTCTTTGTCTTTTTTGCCCCTTTCTCCCTTTCCTCTACGGACGTCTATACTCCAGTGTCCGCGGTGTCCGGACGTATACGTCCGGACCCAGTAGACGCAACGAGCTATCCTAGCCAATCCCTCTCTGTTAAGGTATGCCCCGTGATACACTTTCTGCGCGTCGCTGTGCCCCCTCTCCAAGGTTACGTGACACTCACACGGCCTTGGATTGGCTTCGATAGTTCGCAGCATCCGCTGCGCTCGGACGTAAGGTGAAACGGAGTAAAACTCCTGGTGAGCTCAGTGGGTACTGCGCTCCACTGGAAATGGAGAGGTCCCTGGGTCGATACCAGGACCACGTGGATTTTTTTCAGCTGCGCATTAGTCACTTAGCTGTGTTTGGAAATTTACGTTTGTCCTTTGTCTTGCTTGTTCTCCTTCTTTTGGGATTATTATCGTTATTCCTGTCCAGCTCCCTGCACCTTTCCATTAATTGCATTAACATCATAACGTTAAAATGCAGGTTGTTCACCCTTGGTGGTGTTAAGCTGGTGGCAGCTGTTAAAACCCGTTCGCTCTGTCGTTTAACTCCTGGTTAGCTCAGATGGTAGCGCGCTTCACTGGAAACGGAGAGGTTCCTTGTTCGATTGCAGGACCAGACGGATTTCTTCAGTCGCGCACCAGTCACCAAGCTATATTTGGAGATTTGTGTTTGTCATTTGTCCCCCTTGAACCCTTCTCCGTGGATTGTTATCTCTGGTAGGACATTGTATAACGGAAGAAGAGGTTACATTTCACAATTTGCAAGCGTCATATTTCACGCTCATATTTCGCAACATTGCTCAGAACCTTTCAGGATGCTAGGAGCTCATTGGCTGTAGCCTGTGCAGTATAGTACTGAGTAAAAAGGAGGGCGGAGAGGGGGAGGATCTTGTATTAGGCATTCATAATCATAAAGACACACGCGTGACCGACGCTACACTTTAAGCTTTTTTTTCCGCGCTTTTATGCTTCTGCTGATGGACTGCCAGATTAATTGAATGCGGTCACTCCCTTGTGAAGAAAGGCGGTCCCAACTGAAGTACACCGGAGCGTGGCAGAGGTCCGCCGTCTGGAGATAAAACAACCGCAGTTTCCTCTCGCTCTACCAACCCGAACGCATTCGTCCTCGTCGCCATCAAGCAGCCTTTGTTCCGGCTCAGCTCCCAAGGACCATAGCGTCCAGAACTTCACGTTCAACATACATTGCCCGGGGACTGCAATGCGCCTCTGTTTGGAATACATCGCCTCCGTCGTTGTGCTTGCCGTGTGCGTGGGTGCGAACGATCCACCGGTCGACTTCGTCGTCACCAAGATCGCAGCCGTGCACGGAACAACGCAACAACACCTCGGGAAGAAGGTGAGGACGTACCTTGGCGTTCCGTACGCGGAACCACCCGTAGGAAGCTTTCGGTTTCGGAAGCCAGTGCCCGCCAAGCAACGTGACAGGATGATCTTGGCCACGAGACTCAGTCCATCGTGCATGCAGCTGAACGCCGCCCTCCAGGACCTGCCCTGGTTTCACGATGACAGCATCCACTCCGAGGACTGTCTCTACCTGAACATCTGGGTGTCCGAATGTGTGCCACTCGCCAACGAGACGACGTGTCCTCTAAGACCCGTGCTCTTTTGGATCCACGGAGGCGGATTCAGGGGAGGTTCCACGAACATGGATGTCTACAACGGGGGGACGCTGGCCGCCTCCGGAGACGTCGTGGTCGTCACGGTTAACTACCGAGTCGGGGTCTTTGGCTTCCTCAATCTCAAGGGTTCCGACGTCCCTGGGAACATGGGACTGTACGACCAGCACGTAGCTCTCAGATGGGTTTACGACAACATTCACTATTTCGGAGGGGACCCCAAGCAAATTGTCCTGTCTGGACAGGACGCTGGGGCCGTCTCTGTGGGTCTCCACCTCATCTCGCCCCTGAGTCGCAGACTGGTCAAGAAAGCCATATTGATCGGGGGAGCCCCTAACTGGCTCATCGATCCATTAAATTCAAGCTCGAGCTACGTCAGAGCTCTCATGCTTGGCAGCTTCTTGTCATGCGGCGACTCCTCGGCAGCGCAAAGCCCGCGGGTCATCGCCAGCTGTCTCAAGCAGGCGAATGCCAAGTCTATCGCGAAAGCGGAAAGCGAAGTTTTCAAGCAAGCCTACTACACATTCTGGCCGCGAGACAAAGACGAGCTCGTACCCATGGACCCAGTGACGGCCATTGCCCGAGGGCATGTCCTTCCAGTCGACGTGCTAGTTGGAGTCACCGCCGACGCCGGTTATTCACAAGGCCTAGCTTTTCAAAGAGCCGTGTTCGACCCCAAGACCTCCACGGGTGTTACCAAGGACCAAGCGGCGCGCATCCTCAGCGACGCCCTCTTCCTCTTCCCGACAGCGTCTAGAGAAACACTGGCCAACTTCTACTTCGCAAACAAGAGCGATTCGGACCCAATTTCTGTCAGGGCTACATTGGCTCAGGCTATTGGAGACATATTTGTGAACTGTCCTGTTATGTTCCTCGCCGAGTCTTACGGAGACCGTCCCATGAAGGCGTTCCTCTACAAGTTTAGCCACCGGCCGTCTTTCAGTCGCTGGCCCGCTTGGTACGGGACAACGCATTACGACGACGTTCCTTTCCTTTTTGGCGTGCCGCTCAGGCATCCGGACAGATTTTCATCCAAAGATGTTGCTGTGAGCAAGATGCTGGTCAATACTGTCATCACCTTTGCTACTACTGGGTAAGGAACATGTTTGTATTGTTGTCTGAATGGCGTCACATTTGGGAGACACGCTTTTGGTGGCACTGAGTGTGCATGTATTCTCCCCTCAACAATCAAGACAGTTAGCTTCGTTCCATTTACCTGAACCTCCTGCACCCGTGCAGAAAAGTGTAGGGCGGTGTACTTCCGGTATGTGTATTGAGATACGACCGGAAGTACACCGCCCTACACTTTTCTGCACCGGTGCAGGAAGTGCAGGTAAAGCGAACGAAGATACTATGTGCTTCAAAAACAATATCGCGTGTTGTAGTTGTGAACGTTAAATGGCTCATGCGGCCTTACATACTGGCGACTCTATAGTGAAGCTTTTTCCGACTTACATTACCTCATATCTTTGTGTCAAAAAACTGCTGGTTACACAAAAAAAAAAGAAACGGAAGTAAAAGAGAAGAAAAAGGTAAAACCGTTCATTCGCCACCGCATATAAACTTAAAGCATTGACGAAACCTGACGGCCAAAACATAAAACTGTGGAAGCAGATGAGGAAAAGTGCCCTAGCTATTCCTTGTGTGCACAAGCAGACAATGGGAAATTGTACAGGCGAACAGAGTCATAATAGGCCTCTACTTTTTCGTTAAAATGAAAGATGACTGAAAATAAATTGATCAAGTTACAATCAAGCAATTTGAGGTCGATGTCATAAAAATAATTAGCAGTAAGAATAAAAAAAAATGATAGCGGACATAAAAGCCATGTTACTTTAATATTTCCGAATTTCATTATACCTTCCTAGAAATTCCCAGAATTCCACATTGCACCAAGCTGCTCTGGGTATTCGTAAACTTCCCGTTGTCTGGAAGCAACGCAGTTAATCCTTGCCTAGTGTTGTGATATCATAGCACGAAGGGAGAAGCACAAAACCAAGCCGACCTTAACTAAGCCAACTCAAACTATTTTTTTCTTTTTTGTCTGCATTTTGAGCTTACAAAGGGCGGGTTTCTGTCAGTAAATTCCGCACGTTATAGGTATTGCCAACTTTTTGGCGGTGTTGACTCTTGCCGTTTAAGTAGAGGGCAACTCTCATGGACAATAGAAAGGGGCTAAAAGTTAGGGTAGTTGAGCCTGATATCGTATGTGCCACTTTAAGTCATTGGAATTGAGAGGTATATAAGGCGTGAAAATCAGGTATGTGTGGAAGAGACAGGAGGAGGAAAATTGATCTGAGCGAATGAATAGGTCAAACGACGGTGGGGAAGAGAGCTCCAGCAAATGAAATGTAAGGTAATAATGCGTTTAAACTTGGTACCGGCCATCAATGGGGAAGATGAGACAGGTTGTTTTCCTCTGTCCTCTTAAGTTCTGTACAATTGCAAGGAGTATTCTTCTGGCTGCATTGGATGTCGGCGACGTTGCGAGCGCGTTGTTGCACAATATCCACGCGTTTAATTATTATGTCTCAGAAGAATATAATATCGGGCTTGACAAAAAATTCAATAGACCGATCTCACAGCCAGTTTCATTACGCCACCGCTGCCTCCCTGCATTGTGGGAACTGTGGGCTTTCTGCACGTGCCACAACCCCGCTCGGGGCTGCGCGAGCCGAGGACGAGGCTGCACCAGCTGTTTCGTGAACTGGTACCTGCCTCCTATGAACTACAGCTATGGCGGTGTTAGGCACGCGTGGAACGCTTAGTGAAATCAGTCTATTCGTCTGGTAGGTCAGGGTCGAAAGAAATTATTGCGAGATTGACTGAAGTCTCATCTTGGGTAGAGATCTCCTACGGGGAAGAGAGAACAAAACATATATTAATATTATCCGTCGTATATTTCTTGACGTGTTGGGGCATGCGTATTCATTGGAGTGTGCCATGGCTCACTGCTTGTCCGGAAGAAGGGCCTGAGCCTTAGTCATATTGTTTATTGCAGTTTAATGTTCAACAGCTTATTCTGCCCTAGCCCCTTGAACACAGCTCCTCGCGCGACATTCTCGGCCGCTTTATCGCCATTGTCGTTTTGTGTGCCTATACATCCCTCAAATGTTAGCTCGTAGCTCGTCCCTTAGCCGTGCGACAACCTCCCCACTCCCCCTCTTCTCCAGTTAACATTTGAAGCAAGAAAATTGTTCTATCATCCATAGTATTAAAGAGCTCAACATCTAAGGGTTGCTTAGAAGACCCCTATCCTGACATGTCAAACTCCGTTTTATCCTAAAGTACATCACTACACCTCTTTCTACTCATACCAATCTGGGTGCAACATTTGGTGGCTGTAAAACTCACAGCAGTGTGAGTAGCCAAGGTGATACGTCCCCTCCTTCAATAGATGCATTTCGTGTAAAAAAAGAAAACTCTATAAGAGAGGGGAAGAGGTCAAAGCCTTTTAATTTTCTGGTCAGTGCACCCTCCTAACTTCCCTATCCCATTTTCTCCGCCGACGTTTGCGCTGAGAAGCCATGTCTGTGTTGGCTGCAGTGACTGCCGACTAAAGTCCGAGTTAACGAATCTCTTTCCCTGGCTTTCTCCCACATTCCCCAGTGGCTCAGAACGACTGTACGCTTTCCCAAATCTCTCCCTTCTGCGGTAGCACACGTGCTCGTTGGGACGGGCAGTTTTTTCCATAACAAAAAGAAGAAAAAAAAAAACGTGGAGAGGACGAAACACAGACGAGTGCCAGCCCGGAGCTGCTGTGCCTTGTGAGCCTTCTTTGAAGAAGTCGTTCTCGCTGCATTCGCTTCGGACCTCCTCGGGCCTTTTCAGCAGAATAATGATCCGAAAAATCCTTTTACCTCGCATCACTTCGAACCCCTTCTTTTCGATCTCGTGCGGAAGGGAGGGAATTGGTAAATGAACCGAGTAATCCTCAGAGTGGACGGAAGCAGCGTCGGACTTATTGGTGTCAGTGACCTCCGTCAGCACCGCTTGCGGACATGTAGAATACGCCTCGTTAGGACGATTCCTTGCGCCTGAGCGCCATCAACTGGAAACAGACGAACATGTGTGTGTACAAGCAGTACTGCTAAAGGTCGCTAGGGTTGCCAAAAAGTATTTTGTTTGGTCTGAGAGAAGTTGCTCGGTCGATAGGACTAGGCCTCAAATAGCTAAAGGTCCATTTAAAAGTATTAGCGTTTGAATGTGTTGGCTCGCGTTGCTTTCTGCTGTGAATGCAGCAACCACATTTTGCGCTCATGTGAGTCGGCACCACCACCGTGGTCGGCACACATACAACTGTCTGACTTTTGCAGCAGGCGAGGATTCCCTGAATTAATTTTACACCACGAAGTATACTTATTTATTTACTTACAAATATTGTTGCCACCTCCTGGGATAATTACAAAAGTAAGTTGACCACACAGATACACAGATAAGGAAAAGAAAAAATAAGAAAACAGCTGCATTTCAGAAACAACACTAACCGCTCATTCACACTGGAAGCGGATCCGCGTTCGCAAAGCGGTTGCGAACGCGGTTGTATAAAGATTCAGTACAATTGCACGCGCACTCGGTGACATCAAGTGCGCGTGCAATTGTACTGAATCTTTGTACAACCGCGTTCGCAACCGCTTTGCGAACGCAGATCCGCTTCCGGTGTGAATGAGCGATAACACTCGTACAAATACCGGAATTTGTACATAAGCAAATGCACGAGCTACTAACTGTTCACCTAGTTTTGTCTTTTATTTACATTAAGGTTTCTATGTAAAGAAACTTGCTTAACATTTTTATGTAAAGAGCGTTTATTTGTTTTTACCGATATTATCAACCTTGTAATTACCCCAGAAGATTACACCAGTAACTGTAGGGAGTACTAAAGTCACTGGATCGTGGTAAAGTAGCGCCATGCTCCCCATATGGACGCCATTTTCGGTCCTGAAATGAAAATTTCTCCTTGACCTCTCCGTTCTTAGCGAGCCAACGTAAAGTCGCTCGTGATGGGTAGCTTTATAGAAGCGTCTTTGTATATCGAGATTTTGCTATCTAAACACCTGCGAAACAAGCGTACATCTTCGTACCACATGTGGTGTCGGTGATTGGAGACATTAAAAAATAATTTTCTTGTTTTCCAATACGCAAGAAGAACAATACCATAATAAGAGATCCGTGGAGAGGGGCGTTATTAACAAGTTGATTGCATACAGGCTGTCCAAGAAGTTTATATTGGCGAGGAACGCCTTCAGTACGATGGTGCTTGAACAAAAAGTAAGGGCGCAAACGAGCTGGTGTACACTGCACATGGGTGAAAAAAACCCGAGACTGCGGGTAAACGACACAACACTAAAAAGTCTCTAGAGACTTTTTAGTGTTGTGTCGTTTACCCGCAGTCTCGGGGTTTTTTCAACCATGTGCGATGGTGCTTCATGGCGATCTTGATGCGACTGGTTTAGAACGACCCCCTCGAAGCTTCGAAGATATGAAGGGGCCAAAATGGCGATTGCCATGGCAACGATACCGATCAGCCAATCACCATGGGAGGTTTTGGCTGTATGTTAGTATCTTTTTGTGGCCGGCTAGCAGTAGCAGGCAGGTTAGGTATTGGCGCTACTTTCTCATGATCCAGTCAGAGTTTGGTCATTCATTGGGAAGTATAGGAGGCAAACGAGGAGGGCTCCATTGGCCGAAAGAGGGCTGGGCGTGTTCCAGGGCGTCTTCACAAATTCGAATGTGGTCAACCAGAAGCCGGAAATAATACCCTGGCGGTGGTTGTGAGAAACAAACTTAAGTGCGTCGGAGTAACTCCCGGTGATTGCAAATAAGGTGCACGTGATGTTTCAATCACGGTCATCCAAAACCATGGTGGAAGAGTGCGACTAGCAGAACGATCGACATAATCCGTACGCCAGGCGCCGAAGACCGGGAATATACTGTCCGAGCGGTTACACTTTGTCTCTGTGCGGGCAAAACAGAGTTCGAGCGGCACATTCGTTCCTTACATCTTTTTGCATGATCATTATCGAAACATCACGCGCCCCGTATTTTCAGCCATGAAGAGTTACTACATTGAACCATTAGGCTCTTATTAAAACTTTTTCTTGCTACCACCTCTAGAGGATTCTTTTCTGTTTCCGGAGAGCATGCCAAGCCAAGCTTCTCGGCGTCTGGAAGGCATGCCAAGCGAGCATGCCAAGCCCTCTGTCTACGTCTGGTGCACGGCCTGGCTCTGCCCACTCCTCCCATTGACCAAACTCTCTCTATACACGGCTCTGGATCCAATGACTTTAGAGTGTACGAGTGTTAGACATTTTTTTAATAATTGATGGTGCTTTTTCATTAGTATTATTTTATTTGATTCGCAGTTTATTTTTGCTGCTTGAAGTGTTCGAGTTTTTCTTATAATCGATAAAGGCGAATAAGGTCTTCAGAGCACTTCGATCACTCGCGTCAAACCTCATCGCTTCGCATAAGAGCTCGCGCGCCAACTTTCAGCACTTCGCCCGCCCCAGAACACCGGGGTGCTCGGAGGAAAGGCTGTCTCGGTGGAGCATCCCATTTGGCTCGACGGGCTTGAAGATTTTATCACTATTGTAACCTTCTTTTGTTACAGTTATTGGTCAACTCCTATCTTTTTATAAGACACTTATGAAAAGCAAAAAATTATTTAACTAATACTCAACAATGTAGTCATAGTTTTGCTTCCCGTGTCACATTATATTTTGCGAAAGATACTTGTGTGTGTCGGTGTGCTAAACACGAGTATGTGAAATGTATTTTTTTATACGCATGTTTGGTGCAAAACAAATTCCAGGTGTGATTTATTTAACAAGATAAGCTCAATGCAAACTGAATGAAAAATATTTTTATTAAAAATATCTGATTGTATTCGCATTTAATTTTTACTATTCGTATTTCAATCGCACTCACACATTTGATATTTGCACACCTCTCAAATGCTCTTCGGTACCTCGACGAAGGACATTGTCGGTTCGGGACGGAATCGCTGATCAAGGTTTATTTCGTGTCGGGTCCTGACTCAATATGCCGGCCCGATCAGATCTCTGTAATCAGCATTAAGAAATATAAAAAAAGAATATCAAACAGGAACATATAGTTGGTGACAGGTTAAGTGGAAGCTCCTCCCACCTGTCTCCACTTTAGCAGATCGAACGCTGGAGAGGAGGTCGCCTCCTCTCCAGCCTTTGCTACTTGCTAAGTGGAAAGGAGTGGGAGGAGCTTCCGCTTTACTCTGAACCTGTCACCGACTTTAGGAATTATTTGTTACAAAGGAATACAGCACCCAGACTACTTTCGCAAAACAAAAATGCAAAAAAGGCGTGGTGCAACGAGGGGTAAAGGGGGTCTGGCATTTTAATAAGGCAGTTTTGGCCGATCGTTTGAAAAGAGAGTTTTAGTAGATCGTTCCCATGACTCCGATAACGATACCCGATACTCCGCCACCGCTTCCCTTGTGCATGCATAGTATCGTTATCGGGGCTATCGGAGGTACCGGAACGATCTACTAAAACTCTTTATTAGAGAGTTTTAGTAGATCGTGTTTTCAGGCCACGCTAATCGTAGCGGGAGCTCGCGCTGCCACTTCGATGCATGCTTTGAAGCGCGCGCTCGTAGCGCTAGCGGGCCTTTGAAAACGATCTACTAAAACTCCCTATTAGCTCTGATATCTACCCGATAACGATATGATGCATGCTCAAAAGCGCCAACGGAGTATCGGGCATCGTTATTAGACAGTTTTTCTAGATCGTCCCGAAACACCCGATAACGATACCGGTAACGATGCGATTCACGTGCGATGTGCCGTCTGAGTATCGGGTATGGTTATCGGAGCCATCAGAACCATGTACTACTATAGTCGGTTGCAAGCTAAGAAAAAACCGGAAATGCCTCTCAGAGGAAAATGTAATCCTACGCCGAGAAACGCCAGCCAATCGTTTTCATGACGTCACGATTCCGTGGACCAATCGCGATCCTTTTGAAAAAAAAAAAAAAAAAAGCTCAACATGGCTGCTGCCCTTAGCAACGCGACGCTAGTTTCTCGTGACAATTATTCTGCTTTTTTGCACCGTGTTTTACGTGCCCGAGGTTACGCCACGAAATCTTAATGGTATCGGCTTGCGTTTGCAGCAGTTTTTCCGCGACAACGTGAGAATCCAGCGACGCTATCGCCAACAAAAATTTCGAAGCGGGCGCAAGGCTTAGCACTGCTGAGAGCTGGAAGACGGTATGTTAGACAGTATCTTGGACAGAAAATGAATTGGGAAGACGGTACATTGTACATGACTTTCTTTTTTTACTAAACAGCTATTTCGTTGACAAAAACGTATTCTAACTTATTTAAATGTCCTGAATGAATTAAATAAATATTGTAGTAGTTTAAGACAGGTTTCCTGGAGGAAGAAAAAGCAACGTTGCTAGCGAACTACTTTGTCGACGGCGGAGGCACTTCAGATGGGCGCAATGCGCTTGTGGGTGGAGCTAAAAGATTGTTCTTAGCTTGCAACCGACTATAACTCCCTATTAAAGAGGTATTGAAATGAAACTTTAAAAGAAATACCTCTCACGTTCAGAAGTAACTTAAACATGATCAAATATATGTGTTAATGACAATTGCACGCTTGTATTTGGAACGGATGGCTATATGTTTCGTTCGGAAGCACCAATCCCAGCAAGCGCTCGAAGATCAGCCATCGGAGAGCGCAATGCATCACGGGAGCTGGACTAATAAACGTCACAGACGTGACGTCAATTGGTTTAGCACAGGCTAAGCTGCTTGGAGGCTGGCGTGGTTATGAGCTCCGCCATTTAGCCTCGTCAACGCGTCACAACCAGGCCGTTTTTAGTTGCCTCTCCCCGCTTTCCGGAGAAGTTGAATAGGCCGGGAGAGAAGGGAATTCCGATTCGAAAGGGCTCGCGCGGACGCAGCACTTCAGAGGAGCGGTAGATGACGTAACGACATTCGGTTTATTCCTTTGCGATAATGTTTTGGTGTCTTTTCAAGCAAAAAAGTTGGTGTGTCCGCAGTGTGGCCGGGACGTACGTGGTTGACATCTAGACAATAAAATGGGCGCTAGAATTTCGTTGCTGTATCCCTTTCCTAGAGTTAACAAAACGATCTACTAAAACTTTTTAGTAATTTCCAGATTCGACAGGGAGCGCCGCCATCCAGCTGCTGGTGCGTGTAGATTGTCTGATGGCCACAAAGTCCTGACTTGCTAAGACGTGTCCACGATTGCTAAACTGATGCAGACTTGTACGTAACGCGTTACAAGTAATTGATTACTTGTAATCAATTACAGTTAAGTGTAATTTTGTAACGCTTCAATTACATTTGTCAAGCTGTAACGCTCGGAGTAATTCAATTACTTTTTTCCTGTAATCAATTACAAAATCAATTACACAATTACGAATTACATTTTTCATCCCACAATTCTTTTTTCTCACAAAAATCAGCATAGTCACTCAGCCACAGACTTGTACGTAACGCGTTACAAGTAATTGATTACTTGTAATCAATTACAGTTAAGTGTAATTTTGTAACGCTTCAATTACATTTGTCAAGCTGTAACGCTCGGAGTAATTCAATTACTTTTTTTCTGTAATCAATTACAAAATCAATTACACAATTACCAATTACATTTTTCATTCCACAATTTTTTTTTCTCACAAAAATCAACATAGTCACTCAGCCATGGAGCAAAAATGATTGACATTTTTTTAACATCTAAAAAAAATAAAACTAGGATTAGTCGGCAAATCCTTTTTTCTTTTGCGCCACGCTCTTCTACAAGCGCGCCACCAGTCTTGGCTGGGGAGTTCCGGATCTCGTTGCAGATTGCTGATAAAGTCGACGGGAAGCGGGAACTCGCTATTGACTTTTTAGTGGGCTTTGTTCCTTAGGTCGACGCGTCAGCTACACGACAAGGTCCGGGTCTGAAAACAAAAAAGGGAACAATAACCAAACAAAATTGTGTACGCAATATTTTACTGTGTATTTGTGTATTTCTGTCATCGCAATAAGAAGTAACGTGAAAGTAACTTGAAAAGTAATCAATTACTTTGCAGTAATTGTTCAATTACTTCTGGGAGGCAGTAATCAGTAACGGTAATCGGTTACTTTTTTCACTGTAGTAATTGTAATTGTAATCAGTTACTTTTTTTCAGTAACGTGTACAAGTCTGAACTGATGCCCCAACAAAGCATTTTCCAAGCAGGCTAACTTTTGAAGCGTGACTGCTTGCAAGCGTTCTCGCGCTTGCCGGCGCATAAAGATCCCGAGAAAACGCTCTCCGAAACCACGAGAAATTAACAGGCGCCCTAAATGTGGTTTTTCTCTTCGCAGGAAACCTAAGCCGACCCCTGACACCGAGTGGCCGCAGTACTCGTCGACTTCGGGTCAGTATTTGGACCTGAGCACCGGCGGGGTCACTATGAAGAAGCATCCGTTTCAACAGTGCGAGTTCTGGAGGAGGTACTACCCGAACACTGTTTAGAGGGGCACCTTACAAAACTCTGGAGTTCTCGGTGTTGGTTGTTACGAGTTTCTTCCCGAAAATTAGAACCAAATAGAACCAGACGTAAATGGTACCGAAAAAGAAATTTGGCAATTTGAATTCAATCATGACTCGCGCAATACCAGTGAAAATCTCTCTCTGTCTTGCCCCTGTAAATAAAATTATACATAAGCTTTTGTTGTTGTTGTTGTTGTTCGGAGGTCTTACTTGAACGCAGGCTGTGCATTCGTTGAAGAACAGTCTGGAATATAGGAGGAGAAAAGAACTTAATCAAAATTATACTGGTTCAGGTTGAAAATCACACCAACTTTCCCAACTGCTTTTCTATTCTTATTTACTTTATGCGTTTATTCTAATCAGGAAGAAAAATATTGTAATCAAATAAATTAGATTTATTATAATCAGACTAGTTTCATCGGAATTTGTATTTTTAAAAATTGCTGATATATCTATCAATCCGCCCGATCACTGAAAACAACGCGGAACAAAGAATTACTGTTAATTTAAAGTGCAGTTTAATTCGCAACTTTTGATCGAGCGAACTCCGCCTTCGTAACGGGTTAGATCGCGAAAATGAAACCCGGGTCTTTGTCCCGTATAAATAAACTACACGCATCGCGGAAAGCTAAGAGTATGTGGCACTGCCGGTGGTGATAAAATGCTTAAAGGGATACTACAACGAAGTTTCGGCGCTCATTTTTGGTCTGTATGTGTTCAAAAGAGCAGTATGACATGGAACATGCCAATATCTTGTTAAAAAAGTCTCGAAAAGGAATTTTAAAACGAATTAAACGATTAGCAAAGAGCACCTGGTGGATGTCGCTAACGCCTCGTTTGTAATGCTCGTCTAGAAACCTTGACAGCTAGTGACGGAGGTTGTCTCGTCTCCGGCCACGACGAGAGAAGGGCGGAAGGAGGAACTCCCCTCGTCCCGAAAATCCCTTTTGTGTGTCGCAGAAGTCGCTATTGTCCCCCTAGAAGATTATAGAAAATTAACCCGTCACTCAAAATTCGTACAAAAGCAGCCGCTTCGGTGGCTGGAACGACTAGGCCATCCTCTCGACGTCAGCCTCGCCGTAGCTTTGCTCGTCTTGAGACGACCTACGTCACGATTGCGTTAAATGTCACGTGCTCTAAGCTGGGCCTTCTCCGAGCGCTTGCCAGAGTGGGCCGTTTATAACAAAAAATACAGCCACCAGGATCAAAATACAAACCTGTGATTGTCATTTACGGATATTGTGGATCATATTCAACCTATTTTTGAACACGACGGGAATATTTCAAATTTCGTTGAAGTATCCCTTTAAAGTTTGAGCACTGACGTTACCTAGGTCAAAATCAGTGATCAAAAGATACTTGGTGTCCCCCCCTCGAAACCACCAGACAAAACATCCACAAAACAAATTAATAAAAGAAACGCAAAGAAAAAAAACAGAGAGCCAGCCGTTAATTAATTTTTAAGACAGGAAGTTATCTTTTAATTATTTAGGCTACGTGATAGCTTTAACAATAGTTTAGGGCGGAGGCATGCGGTTTAGAGAAACTCGTTTTAGCGAACACCGTCTTACTTACCCCAGTTTTTCGAGTCGCCCGGAGAACCTGAGTTTAGAAAAAATAACAATGAGCCTCCTTTCAGCGAATTCGGCCGCGGTTAACATTTTTGTAATGAGCCGCTGCAGACTGCCGCTTGTCACTAATACACACGTTTTAGTGATACACGCGCAAAAAAGGGAAGCCTTTCTTTTTTTTTTTGATTAACAACGTTTTTTTAAGCTGGAGCTCCGCTTTCTCTGAATAGAGCTTCGATCAAACGTGCGCGTTCTCTAATACGTGTTTGGATGAAATGGCGTTCGATCGACCGTAAAAGACCCGTTGAGAGTGTGAAACACGGTCGAACGCTTTCGAGTAATCAACAGATATAACGTCGACTTATTTGTCCCTGTCGGTCCAATGTTTTTGCAATGTCATGAATAGTAATACCGATCTGATATAAATCTGGATTTAAGCCGTTCTTTGAACCACCTTGACTTTTACTCTCCTTCCTGATTCTGACCAAAATGTACCATTGATGAACATGACTCTTTTCTTCTGCACTAACTTTGAAATACTTGCGTTGCCTGGAAGCCCACCTGTATCATAGAGAGTTTGCATAGACAAGCCAGCTTGAGCTCAATCAAATAGAAAGTTACAAGTGTTTATAAGGTAAAAAGTGATTTGTGCATCTTGTTCTGTTACCCTATTTGTCTCCTTTGATTTTATAGTGAATCTACTGTTTTCCCGCTCATGATGGTCAATTTAATCCCAGTGCCATTCAATTTAATTCAAGCGCCATTCAGTTTAATACCAGCGCTAGCCAATTTATTCGCGGGGTCAGTCAATTTAATCTGCAATATGTACAGGCATGTATTCGTCTTCAGTGGTCATCTGTCGCTTACACTTTTTATAGAGTAATTGTACCCTGTACTTAACTGTAACTGAGTAGTAAGGCCTGTGCGCATGTGCACAGGCTTTGTGTTGGGTAAACCCCGAGGTATGGAGACAACAAGCGGGACAGAGCGCCTCGCCAAAAGTGACATCGCTGAATATCACGTCCTACGGCGCACTTTAGACGCATCGTTTAACTACAGTTCACTATAAACGAACTTGGGACACGGATATGAGTGAATGGATAACAAAGAAGAGAACCCACATAATAGCCACGACACTGGCCGCACCTTCCTTAAGTATAGTTGCGTTCAGAAAGGCACTCAACGTTGGGGGACGCTTTGTTGGCATTTTCAGTGGTCATCCAGCGATGTCCTGTCCTGTTCTCTGCTTATCAATGTTCGTTTGCACACAGTGTTCGCGAGAGCAATCAAAAGGAAAAGGATCAATAGAAAACCTCGACGTCTTGCTGTAGCGGGGTCAAATATACAACAAGCAAAACAATTTTGTTTAGTGTCCACTTTTTTTTTATTTGTTATTTTCTTGAAACTCAAGTCTGCATTGTCGTCGTATGTCATTTCCCGGTCTGCATTGCGCCTCGGTGTGACAATCTTTGCTTCATTAAAACCACCTCTTTTGTTTGAAGATTTTTTGGGGGAAACCCTAGGAAACAAAAGGTGCCTTTAAGAAGGCGAGGGGGAAACCTTCATTGTACAAACTTTAGGCTGAAGTATGAGTCACAATCGGTAAAAAAACGATGTTTTCACGAGCTCAATCAAAGTCACCGTAGCTAATCAGAGCTAGCAACAGGGTTTGGTTGCTCAAAAGAATGTTCACGTTTGCTGGTGCCACGCTTACGCCACTTCATACCGAAAAACTCGGAAAATGGCGGAATGTCAAAAATATATTTAAGATAAAGAGTACAAGATACTCGGAATTGTAATCAAAATAGAGTATCAAATATTCTCGATTAAAAGTATTTGCAAGATACCAAGATACTTCAAAAAGTATTTGAAATACAGTATCTTGAGTAGAGTGTTTGAGATAGGCACAAGTCTGGTGTCAACGACTTGGCCAGCGTCCGTGGGCTCACCGGAAAGTTTCGACCTAAATGGCGTGGTCCGCTTCGGGTCGTAGAAAAACTGTCGGAGGTCACCTTCCGAGTAAAAGACACTCGAACAGGAGAGCAGAAGATACTTCATGCTGATCACCTTAGGCGATATGGTAGCGGAGTTGGCGGCCGGGGTGACAATGGGCCTCTTCGGGGGCTGGACATGTCGAATGATGCTGGGACTCCTACTGCCATGCCCGCCGTTCCAAAGCCTTCCGGCCCGTGTCTAGCTGATAAGAACAGAGTGAATTCAGATGAGGAGAGGTCAAACGATTTCATCATGCTGGCACTTTTGGAGGAGTTGTTTCACAACTCGGCTGCTGATCCTCCTAGAGCAAGCCGACCCGCGCGGGGGGGGGGGGGGGGGAGGAGGGAGGGCACTGTTTTGTTTTGAGAAAATACGGACCAGTTGACGTATGAGAAACCTGAAGGATCCCCCCCCCCCCCCCCTCCCCCGGGGTGGTCTGTGATCTGCGGGAACGTTCTTAGTGTGCTCCTTGTTGTTCTTGGTTGAGTGTGTTGTCCCGTTCTGTTCACTGTTTTTAGCGACCACGTCATGGTGTATTCTGTGCACTTTACCCAGTGTTTCGATAGGTATCTCATAGTGAATCCATTTCGCTCCGAAAACGTAGGGGAAATACGAGACCTTTACGTGTATTTGAACTGGCTTTGTTATATTTTGCATCTGCTTTAGACATTCTTTGGTTCTGCTTCTCCTATGGGCTGCGAACAGGTACCGTAAGCAGGATTGTTTATTTATTTTTCATTTTTTGTGTGTGTGTATGTGTGTGCGTGAGGAGGTTAGTTTGAACGAAGGACTTACAAAGCTACATTCTTCTCCCTAAAACTTGGCCCTGAATGGCCTTTGTCACGCACTAGGGCTTCCCTTGGGCTTTCCTGGTGCTTTCCCATCCCAGTCCCAGCTGGAAAAAAAAAAAAAAAAAAAAAACCCGGGCAATTCACAGAAACTATACATACAAAGGGGTTGACATCGTTTCCTACAGATCCGCAAAATATATTTTTTTTCTGTTCGAAAAAAGGAGCAAATATAATTTTCGTCAGTGCAAAAAAAAAAGGTTTGTGCGGGAGAAGGGGCGGGGGGGGGGGGGGGGGGGGGGTGGTCCCGAGGAAAATTAGTAACGATTAGAAGTAATTTTTATTACTTAAAAAAGTAATCAAATTACTCTTGTGATTACTGCCTAATGAACGTAATCAACTGATTACAAAATTACTAAAAAAAGTAACCGATTACAAGTAATTTGATTACTTGTAATGCGTACGGTACACGTCTTTCTCAAAGTAATCAAAAGAGTACTCACAATGCCAATTAGGCCGAAATGTAGTCTATTGTGTCAAAAGTAACCCCAAGTAATTAAAAGAGTAATATCAATGTGAATTCAGCTCATATAGATCAATTGGTGGTATAATAAGTAATCAAAATCAAGAGTCACCTAAGTGTCAAACAAACCGAACTGAAGTCAATTGGCTCCAAAGTAACCAAAAGAGTAATCAGTGTCAATAATATACTCATAATAAATCAATTGGTTGAATATTAGCTCAAAGAAATTGAAAGTCACCACAATGTCATTATGCAGAATTAAAATTCATTGTGTGAAAAGCAATTCCAAGTAATCAAAAGAGTAATAGATATAATAACTCAAAGTAATCAAGAGGGTCACCAAAATGTCGGTTAGGTACAATTAAACTTCATTGAGTCAATACGTACTAACTCACAATAATAAAAACAGTAATTATAATGTCAATTAAGCACATAATAAATAAATTCATTGAATATTATCTCAAAGTATTGAAAAACATAGAAATGACAATTAGGTCTTAATAAAGCCCATAGAGTCAAGAGTAACTCGAAGTTAGTTAAAAGAGTAATAGTAATGTGAATTGAGCTTAATAATAGATAAATTGGTGGTATAATACATCGAAGTAATCAGAGTCGACAATATGTAAATTAGGCTTATATAAAATTTATCGAGTTACTATAGTAACTCGAAGTAGCCAAAGTAGTAATAACAACGTCAGTTAAGCTCATAACAAATCAATTCGTTGAATTTTAGCTCAAAGCAGTCAAGCCTTCAAAGTCTCAATTCAGACGAATTAAAGTGCATTGAGTCAAAGCTAGGTAAGTCGAAGTAATCAAAAGAGTAATCATAATGTGGCTTGAGCTCATAATGAATCAGTTAGTGTAATATTTTCTGAAAGTAATCACAACAGTGAATCGAACTCCGTTGGGTCAATAGTAAGTCGAAGTAATCAAGAGGGATCATAACGGTAACTACTCTGATAATAAATTACTCGGTTGTACAAAAAAAAACTCAATAATTTAACTAAGAGTGAGGATTGCGTCAATTAAAGCAATATAAAGTCAGATAGGTCACTAGTTACTTAGAGTAATCAAGATGTCAATAACGCTGATATATACTCAGTTGTGCGATTGATTTACCCGGGAAAGATAAAAATTAGCCACTAAGTTAATTAAGTGAATTTAAAAAAGTTGGGTGCATAGCCACACGGATTAATAAAAAGAAATAATCCAAATAGCTGAACTTTTATCTAGTCGCATTTCTCAGTGATTCAAAGTGGTTGACTGAGTAACGAAAATTTTGCTTCTGTTATTTGTTTGTGTTAATAACTGCTATAGAACCAAAAAGGGGTAATCAGAAAGTCAAATTATCTACCAAGTTATATTTTTGTCACTAATTCCTCGAAGTAATCAAGAGGCGAATAAAAAAAATGTTGAAGATTTATTCTGTAAGTTGTGTTATTAAAAGGTCTAAGTAATTAGAAGCGGAAGCCATTTTAAGTCAGCTGTGTCAATAATAGCGCGAAGTAATAAAAAGTGATCACAGATTGCAATTTCACACGTATCATGTGATTTGTACACAATATAAAGTCGAAGTAATAAGAAAGAGTAAACAAATTGTCAATTCAGCTAAAATGAAGCCGTGTGCGCCACTAATACCTCGAGGTTGCCAAAGGAGTAATGAACATGTCAATTATTAGCCTTGTCAATCGTTCGATTAGTAACTCGAAATAATCTAAATAGTTATCAAAATATCAGTTGTCTCCAACAAAATCTAATTGTATAAACAATTACCAGTGTTGGAAAGTACTTTAAGTACATTGTACCTGAGGTACTACGTCAAGTAGGCTCAGAAAAATTGTACTCGATGTACATTCTCTCAGTATGTACTTGTACTTTGCGTAAAAGTATTTTTTCTGGTACTTTCCGGCAAAGTACAACTTCTGACTTCAAAATACATTCCCCAAATTTGGTCTCGGTGAAGTTAAGCTCTTTAAAGGACAAGGCGGTCGTGCCCTTGGCTTCCCAGTATAAAATCAAATCCACTCTAGCAAAAAAAAAAATGTATTGTTATGTGAAAACGCGCTATCGTCTTTCGAGACGTCATCAGGTCATTACTTAGAGTAAATTAAACAAATAAGTGCCTTGGAAGTTGATTGTGTATTTTAGTTTGTCAGCTAGAGTAAAACAACAAGGGTGTGCTACTTGACCTTAACCATTATCGCTGCCATTTCGGAAAATAACTGATGCACCCTCATCTACCCCTAAAGCAATGCGTACCAATAAAAAATAAAATAAAAAAGGGTAATGGAGGGCACCATGAAAGATTATGTTCAAAAGTACTTTACTTTAAATTGTATTTATAGTACTTTACTTCAAGTATATTGCACCCTGTGTACTTACTACTTGAAGTACAGGGTGTCACAAAAAATATTACAGTTTTTTTTTTTTTTTTTTTTTTTTTATCGCAAAAATAAACTAGGCATTGCCGAACGCTCATTCTCCGCCAAAAGATAGCGCTAGAGGTCACAACCAGATGCCAAGGTTTCAGCCCGATCTGATACCTTATTCAAAAGTTATACGTGATTTTCTGAAATTTTCAATGGAAAAATGGAGCCCATTTTTGCCCCTTTTTGGTTTCTAGTGCCCATAGAGCCCCATGTATTCGAAAACTCCGTCGGCCGCCATTTTCCCACTGAAATTTTGAGAAAGTCACGTAACTCTTGAATAAGGCTGATCGGGCTCAAACTTTGGCATCTGGTTGTGGCCTCTAGTGCTACCTTTGGGCCGAGAATGAGCGTTCGGCGATGCCTAATTTATTTTTGCGGCAAAAAAAAAAAAAAAAAATTCTTTTTTTTTTTTTACGCGTTGTACAGAGCGCGAAGAAGCGATTGCCATTTTCTTTTTTTTTTTTTTTTCTTTGAAACCAAAGAATGTCATCAAAGTTATTATTGCTACGGAAGGAGTTCATTTAGGTCTATCATGCAGGCAATAAAATTTCGTGCTCGCTAATACTATTTTCAAGTAAATCGGGAAAATGCGCTGATGTGTTCGGCGCGCTAACAGTGTGTCATAACCTCTCATACTTTGTACTTTAAGTTAAGTCTTTTTTAGATGTAGTTTACCCAACACTGACAATTACTCTAAGTTATCGAAAGTGTGAGCCAAACACGAACACCGAAGACAAAATGTGCGTGTATATATTGTGGATTAAATTGTGCAGAGCTGGGCAGTGGTGTAGCCAGGAATATCTTTAGTCGGAGGGGAAGGGGGGTGGGGGGGGGGGGGGGGGGGGGGGCTGGAGGTGGCTGGTGTGTTTATCACTTCGGGTGCGATTCTTTTTTTTTTTTGGAAAGGGGGGGGGGGGGGGGTGTTGAAGCCCCATAGGTTTTTACCCTGGCTACGCCAATGAAATTGGAAGGCACTTGGATTATACTCGGGGACAACTTTTCTTGGAAAGGCAATGGAAGGTACAGGCACGCCTTCCCACTCCCGTTTTGAGCGCTGATTAAAGCTGTGCGCGGGCTCTCCTCCTCTATGAGATCATGTACCAACTGACCCATCTGTCACTATTGATCTCCTCTCCCCGGTGTGTTTTGCGTCGTATGCCGCCCATAGATCAAAAGTACTCCCGCAGTGGCAACAAATGACGTCACAGAAGCCAGACTATCATGCTGTTGGATGTCGCGATCTTGGCGGTTGGTCGCAGAAATGCTGGCAAAAAGCACGAGCAAACGCTAGTGTCGCTGTCGAACAGCAGCGTCCCAACTTCGGGCTGCGGAAAGCTTCCGTGGATGACACATTGGAGAGCATTGGAGACTGTGGCAGACGCCTGCAGCCAAACAGGCGTCTGCCACAGTAACCACCGCTGCTGGGACACCGCCAGGATCGCGATCGGCGACTGCCTGACACTTTTATGATGTCATCAGGCGGAAGTTGAGGGATAATTTTTTTGGATGCGGTAAATACACCAGTCGGAGACGCGCTGCAGGCACCATAATTAAACTGGCCATCGTTTGGATTCAAATGAGCGGGAAAACCTTGTGGTGTTGAACTGGTTTGACTTGCAGCGCCATCTTCTAGATAGGTGTCGTACCATGCATCACTTGACAAAAAAATAGTTCGAAGTGCGCGCTTTCAGCACTAGGTGGCCAAGGATCCCAAGTCGCACTTTGCCGACTGCTTGGCATCTGCTTGGCATGCTCGGGTGCTCGTCTTGTGGTCGTGTTGGGTGTTGAGTTGTTTTGTTGTCTTGTGTTCGTGGTCGGCAAGCATGGGTGACGGTGATAGCAGCCGAAAATACCGGTTCCTCGTGCTGGGAGGTAACGTCCTTTCTCTCTGACCCAAAACCAACGGCAGGCGTAAATTGAAAAGGGGACATGCTGAGACGCTGAGTTGTCAAATGATTGTATTCTTGGGGCGTCAGATAATGATCTCATTTCCGTCGGCAAAGTTCCTTTTCTGTTGCTCATCCTGTCAAGAAAAACCGTGCCCTTTTTAATTTTTTTTTTTTTTTTAAGTTGTGTGGTGTCAGGTCTTGTGGCTGTTGACATCGAGCGGTTTTGCCTGAGCAGGTGCTCGTGCGTGGCATATACCAACTTCTCGTGTTCCGAGTGTCAAGTTGATATTTACGATATTCGCGCCTGACGCACACACCTTTAAACTCAATAAAGTGGGAACCCGATACACTTTGAATTTTCTCAAGAGTATGGACACCCGGCTCGTGAATTATTATTCGGCGTAATGTTGATTCGGTTTTAGAAGTTACAATGTGATATTATTACGTGGAAACGCACAAACAAACTCGTACTGCTCGGGGTCTTTCGAGGATTTGGCATTCTTTGAAACTTGAATGTGCCCATAGTTATCAGATTGTACATATTGAGACGCGCCAGCTGTTTTTGAAACAGACGCATGACGCATGCAGATTATTCGAACCGCTCGATGAGAATAGCTTATTCACCTAATGCGTCCATAGTTCGTGCCGTGAGGTGAGCAATCCTTGGGTAGAATTTGATGCTGTACTTCTTTCATTTACCCTCTAAATCCTTTGGTCCCGTTGACCGGTTTGGTCGCACACGTTTCTCCAGAGTGCACTGTCTGATTTCATAAAAACAGGTGCTTATATATACTTTTTTTATACAATTGTTCTAAGCAAAAGTATATTCCTCTTTTTTTTTTTCTTTTTTTTTTTTAGGTGGGTAGGGGTTGTTACTTCCGTCGATGCATAGTTGCGCCAGAATAAATACCTTGGAAGTGCATGTCATCTCTCTTTAAAGTTTTGCAAAATAAACTAGTGTAACGGGCCACTCATAAACTGTTGCAACTTAAATTTATTATGTAGATGCCTAGGCCAGGGGAAGCTTCCTATGTGGAGGGCAATTTATTCTTTGCAGTAGAAGTACTAATCTAGTGCTTAACATGAATCACGCACCAGTTTCTACATAAATTCCTGTCCAAGGAGAACGCAGCAGAGTGGAATTCAAGCTTTTAATGTCAGAGTTTGCAGCGTCAGCCTTTTCTGCATCCATTGGAAACTTTTTATTCTTTATTGTTTACCCTAATTGCACTTGCTGGAACTCTGAAACCCATTCTAAATATCAGTAGCTATGTCTTTGCTCATTTGACAGTTACAAAAAAAAAAAAAAAATATGGCAATATCTAAAAAAAATATTGTTTACTCAACAAGTCCGTTGTTCGTTTATGCACCTTTCAGAAAAGGCCTCCAGCAATACTTTATGATGACACCGAAGATAGGAAGTAATTCTTACAATTAATATACAATTTAAATACAATTAAGCTGGAATTAAAACCAATATTTCAACTATTATTTTTGTTCAAAAGGTTTGTGCCATAAATGGGCATGCAGATTTGCTAGTGTACCACCTGCTCTAAGCTACATAGTGTGAATGCTGTTCCTGCTTTGTATACCTCATGTCAAGGTCAGTGGAAGAGTGGTTTATCATTTTGTGGTTTTCAAATATTAATATGTTTTCCCTCTGACAATACAAGGTCGAAATTCACTTAAAAGTTATATAGTTTCTCGCTCTTCAATGGACCTTTTCCGAGAAGCGTTCTGCGCACGCGCGAGCACCCGATGCCAAGCGGCAGAAGTCTGAACGAAAAATTGAGGAAATTCGGAAGGAGGCTGTATATCAGCGAGTAGAACACGTAACTGCAGCATATATATAATTCTGTTACACAAAAAAAGAATGTTGACAGAAAAAAAAAACACGACGTTTCGGTGGATGCCACGAATGCCCCTCTTTAAAGTCGCGTTGGGCAGGCGCTGCTGCTCAGAGAGCGAAGAAATTGGTGGCGTAGCTCCCATTATCGATTGGTAGCGCAGGTAGGTCACTTCCTCGATTTTTAGTTCGTGCAGCCACCGCCTGGTGTCGTCGGTATGTGAAAAAGGTCCATTGATACTTTTACTGCAGCACTGAACAGTATATTTTCTTAAACCACAATTTTTATGTGCATTTGTTTTTCCTCTGTATTTCAACATTGTACCAAGTAGGGCTTGTAGTTTAGAACAGCAGTATTGCCATATAAGTAATAAATAAAACTCTGGGTCGAGCAGGTGTCCATCACTGCTTGTTATGTCTGAAATTGCCTTTCTTGATGGCACCAAAAATATAGATAAATGGAAGCGGTTCTGCGTTGGAGAAAAATTTAAAAAAAAAACACTTAAATCATCTTCATTTAATCTCCAAGATCACAAATATCAAAATATATATTTCAGATTGATGTGCCACTTAGCCACAATAGCACTTTCAAAATAGCACTGAAGCCCCTCCTTCCCGATGCATTCGGCGGAAGAAGGGAATCGTGACGTATTCCACACAAATCTCAACATAACCGCGCCTTTCGCAAGCCTTACCCTAGCAGTCAAAATTGCTTGAGCATTCTCTCATAAACATCACAAACAAGGTGGTTGAAACCTCTGGGTACGGCGTCACATCCAGTGATAGGTTTACCAGTTTTTCTTGCATATTTTGATAAGTTTGGGTCAAAAACTCGTGATATTTAGATTTAGAAAACAAAAATATGCTAGAATTCAGCTCTAGCTAATTTTTCTCAACTCAGCTTTCCCTTGACTTGAACAGAAAGGGGTTGAATGCAGCAGTGGACAGGGTGCAGGTTCATTGTTTCATGCGAACCCCTTCTGGCCCCTTTGCGACGTAAAGATGGGCATGTGACACTGTGACACTCGCTGTGTTTACTCTCTTTTTGTTTGGGTTAATTACCACCAATCTGCCCATTTTGATGCTAAATATTCTTTGCAAAATGCATCGCTGGATTTTCTGGCATTTATTGAAAGGATAGAAATGTGAAACTTACAGCTCTGTTGTGAAATGCTACTTTGAAGCTCCTTTCGACTACACTTTGGGCAGCTAATTAAATTAAATTAAAAAAAAGTTACACACATCCTTATTGCATAACATAGAACTTGCAAAAGTGCCCCACCAGTAAAGTATTGCTGTTGCATTTTTTTAATTGTTTATTTATGTCCTTATTTACTGCAATAATCTTCCTGCTGAAAGCAACTTTTTTTTAATTGGAATTTTTACAATTTTAATAACTACATTGCAACACTTTCAAATTTTGAAAAATGGTTGTTTTTCTGTCTAAAATTGTCAATAAATTGCTTTGTAAGATGGCAATTTATTTGCTCGGTTTATTTTGCCAGCAAGTGAAGTAGTATTGCATTGCTCAACTTCATGGAGAATATGGAAAGCCCGGGAGTGACGTGTGGATTCCTTTTGACAGGAACTGGGTTCATAGGCAGGCATCTGGTAGATTTCTTGTTGAAGCGCAACTTGGCAACCAAGGTAGGCACGCATGGTCACACAATCTGGAATGGAAACAGCATGACCATGCGTATTACTATATGCTATTAATAATAAAAAAAAAATGTTCATTAACAGATTCGGGTTGTGGACAAAGTGCCCCCTCAGATGGGATGGCTAAATGCCAATCATAAGGTGAGTTAAACTGCATATTCTCAATTACACTCTTTTTTCTGCATGGCTTGGAATAGCTGGGACATCTGCTCACCTCATTCAGCGAGAAAAACTGAAATCTGTGTCTAATTTACTTCCAACATCTCTAATGCTGTAAAAGCTTTGTGTTCATCAAATAACAGACATCGGACGCAAGCGTTGAACTTGCAGATTAAATGCAAAATGTCAAAACTTTTACAATTGCATGAGCTGAGCAGTAGTGGCCATCATGGCTATCTCTAAAGGTTTGATTTATAGGATGCAGGTAGTCTGTCTGGTATGGCGTATCAAATTGATGTCTCATTTGCAGGTTGTATTTGAAGACCCAATTGTTGAATATAAAAGTGCTAACCTGATTAATCAAGGTATGGCCTTTCTTTTTTCTTTTTTTTTTAAATTTGCATAGTCATTGTTTTTTGTCTATAGTCTCATCAGCTCATCTTTTGTTCACATTAGCTTCTTGCAAAGCTGCCTTTGAAGGGTCTGAAGAGCCTTTTGACTTTGCAGTCAATTTGGCTGGTGAAACCAAAATTAATCTCCCAGACTCTGTAAGTAGTATTTCACTAAAGAGCCCACACGTTGTAAGCTAAAGTTCCCTGGCTTTTGCTTCCTATTTAGGTGTACCAGGAAGGAATTGCAAAGCTGAGTGAGAACTGTGCAAAAGAGGCCATTGCTCATAATATCAAGCGCTACATTGAAATCTCTTCTGGACATATTTATGCCGAAGGAAAAGTGAGTGGAAAAGCCATGATCATACTTAAGGTTGACGGTCCCTCTCCTTTTCTTTCATTGGTTGTTATATATTACAGTGTCAAGTGGCCATTACTTCGTGGTTCAGGGCACTTTACACAAAAAGGGTTTTTCATCTTCTTGTACGGCTTGCTTTTGAGCAAGCTGAATTTGGAGCATTCACAGGGAATCCCTTCAGTTTTTGCATTAAATAAGTACTCCGGCGATTTTTTTAGCTACCCCAGGTAACTGTGTTTTTGGAATTCCCGGTGCTTACCCTTTCCGGTGTGCTATTTATTATCATGAAATTCATAATAGTTATTGTGAAATCGGCGTATAAAATGTTGCGAAAACCAGCATTCAAATATACCAACACTTTTCAGTGCCGTGACGACAGTGGAAGGCAGGCTTGCCAGTTGAGCAAACAGTCTAAAAAATAGTCTTTATCAAGCGTTTTGTTCCGTGCTGGTGCAGAGCTTCGAAAGCATTCGTTTGACGCCATGAAACTGCTTGGTATCAGTTGGGAACAAAATCTACAGTCCAAAGAGTGAACCAATGTTTTTTGGTGTTGCAAGTAGAGACTTGGCTTGAAAAACTTAGTGAGCACCGAAGTTGTAAATCCAATAACTTTGCAAAAGAACAAATATTTTTACCTAATATTTAGGATACTATTTCAACGACGTTCGTTCTGTTTAGCAAATTTTCAAGTAAATCAGGGACCATGAAGAAATCGCCGGAGTATCCCTTCAAGGCATTATAGAGTGTTATTCTAAAAGTATAAATGTTGAAGAGGAATACTACACTGTGTGTCATTTCTCTGAAACTCACACTGTTTGATTTTACTCAAGTTTTATAATGATAAGTCTAAAATTAAATTTCACCCAATCTTTGAGAAAATGTATTTGAAGCTCAGTGGTCAGTTGAAAGTAAAAATTACTCTTTCAAAATACAATTGTCATCACTCTGTAGAAGGTTCTGGCATGTTATGTTTCATGAGCAGTGTGGAAGAAGTCAGAATAGGTTCTGCAAAGTAAAATATGCATTAATTTATAAGCAAAGGATTTGTACAGACAAACATTTAATATAATCCGATTTTACTTGGTTTGAAGTTCCTCAAGCACTTTCAGCTGATTCAGACATCTTTGTTTGAATATAACCGACTGTGCCATAACTGCTTCTGGCTGGTTGCAATCAGATGGTTACTATAGTAACCGAGGTTCACGCAGTGCCTGAGTTCCTTTTGCCTACGGTGTCCTTGTCTTAAAGAAGCCATCTCAAGAGGAAAGTGCTTTGGATCCTTGGACTGCAGTTGCTCGATTTAAGAGGGACGTGGAAAAAACCCTGGAAGCATTCAAAGATCTGGACTACGTCATTCTGCGCCCTGCTCTTGTGTATGGCGTGGCCGACAAACGTAGCATCAGTGAGCAAACATCCTCGTTTTTTTTTTTAACAAGCCAGCTAATGACTTTCACTCTAGTGATCCAACTGTGAATTTTCCAACTGCTGAACTGCTATGACCAATTGCTTATGCTAACCTTGGGGTTAGCATATCATTTTAATTTAAACGTAAACTAAGCTTTTATTCACCATTTTCATTTACAATGTTTGGGTTGGTTAAGTAGGTACTCTAATACATGTTTCACTGATTCTATACTAACTCTGCTCCAGTCACTTTGTTATCTAGGTTATGTTCCTAATGCTTTCCTTTTTCCTCAGCTCCTCGGATTTTGGTTGGTGCTGTTTACAAACATCTCAAAAAAACAATGAAGGCAAGTTTCTATCTGATTGGTCATATTGCGATAGTGTAATGCTTTGTAATACGAGAGATTCTTTTTTTTTTTTTTTTGGTCAATTTTGTTTATATTTATTGTAACGCTGCTGTGCATTTCTTCCAGCTTCTGTGGACCAAAGACCTCAAGATGAACACTGTTCATGTGTCTGACCTTTGTAGTGCTGTGTGGCATGTGTGTCTTCATGGAAAAGCTCGTGAGGTCTACAATGTTGTTGATCTCGGAGACACCAGTAAGTTTTTCTGTTTATCAAAATACTAGCATTTGCTCAATTTTTTCCCTCTGCTCTGCACTCTTCAGGATAAGAAATTTCTCACATTTCTTTAGCTGCTTCAAAAGCCTGAATTTGAAATGGGCTATTCACACCCGAAGGTCTGAAGTGATAGGTCTTTCTTGTTTGTAAAATAAAAGCTCACCTTTTATCAGAAAGCTCATTATTGTAATCCCTGCATGGAAGGATGTTTGAAGTTGTACCGCAATCATTCTTTTTCAAGAAATAGAATGACACAATCTAAAGTGCATAAGAATTTACTATATATCTGCTATAGACTTGAGAAAAGTTGCTTGCATTGTGTCTGGGTAGTCGCACTATGAAAATGGAACTGCTTATATGTCTAGCTTGTCACACAGGAGCATATAGAAGTATGAATTATGTAACTTTCTCATGGGAGCTTTCCAGCATATTTTTATCCAGTTGACTCATCAGAAGATGACATCTTTTTAGCATGATCTTTTTGTATTAAGGTAGTTTTAACGGTCACACTAGTGCTGAGGGCCTTGTAATAGGGTTAAGTGACCATTACATCATATCCATAAAAGGCTATGGGTCAATAGCAAATTGCGGCAAAAAATGTTGCTGCATCAGACGTAACCTCGCTGTTTTAGTATATTTTGGTTTTTAAATAGAACAGAAAAATGTCTTGTCTGCCATAGCTTTTGTTGCAATCTCGATAGGGATGTGCTATATTAGGATATACTGATGATTGTCATCACCAGATTCCACGAAGTGCTAACCGTTTTCCCTTGAACTGGAGATATTATTGCTGTAGAGACTGGCTTGAAGAGGCATCTTGTAAATGGGCACTGTTGCCTATGCCGATTTTATGCTGTCCCAATATGGTTGTCCTTGATTATTCAAAGCCTGCAACCCTATAAAATTTATATGACACTGTTACTTAATAGAATTGAATACTCATACAGTATTCAAAACATGGCTCATCTAAATAAAAAATATTGAATAGTATTTTTTTTAATATTTCATATATTCAATGTGTTTAGCAATGGCTTTATAAAAAATCCCTCCTAATAAGTTGAAAAACAAGACTCATTTATAGTATTTTACATATAGGCTATGTCAAAATATAAAATCACCCACTGTTTTTCCAATATTTTCTCAAATGAGAGAACAGATGCCCCGCATTCGTCTCATGTTATGAAACAATGGTACTGTAAGCCCCTTTATTTTCGCGGCCCCAATTTTTCGTTAATCGGTCACAAAGGACATACTCACAGTCATTAAATTTCGTTAATTCCAGATGCCTGCATTGAAACTTTTAAGGAACGACAATTTTGCGTGCCCTTAAATTTCACAAACTTTTCATTTTGCGAAATCCGCGAAAATTAAGAACTTGCAAACATTAAGAGTTTTACAGTATATAAAATTAGCATTTAAAATAATAAACTGTAATTATTTTTATTTTTATTTTACTATACCTAGACCTCACAAGCCCAAATTGCACTATTTAAATTTGTGGTGCAACAGGGCAGTGGAGCACCTTTGATTCAATTTCACAATCTAATTGCTGTCATATTTTTCAACTATGTGATTACTGTGCCATTTGCACCCAATTGTGCCAAAGTACTTACCTGGTTGCACCCTTCTATATTTTACCAAAATTTGAGGAATTTGTAGCAACATTGTGCCAAAAGCTAATTTCACCCTTTTAATACTGAAACTAGTAATAGCTCGGGCCCCACTGCACTGCTGAATCGGTACGGTAGATTTGACCGAATTTTTTAACTTTTAATTATGCAATGAATTGTATACGAGGGCTATTCAATTTGATCTTTGTATTGCATACTAACAGTACTTAGAAGTTCCAAAATATTTGTTTTATTCGTGGTCTTATTGAGCAGGCTAGTTAGTTGCACAATGTGCACTGCGAAGAAGCAACGCCTGCAGACTAATATTGCAATTTGGCATGCCTCACGTCACTGCAGCGCAGCCATGTGCTCAGGAAAAAGCACCTCTCGAGCATAGGCATTGGATATTAGGAAAACAATTGTGCTTCGTGAAAGCTATGTGGAGTACATTTCAGATATAACTGCAGCTAGTATATAATAGTCTGCACTCTAGGTTAAATATTCATGTTGAATTCCTCACTTAACTACCACCCTTATATAAGCCTCCAACTGTTTGATGGCAGTCAATAAAGATTAAAAGTTAAAACTAAATGAGCTTTAGCAGGGGACGAATGGAAGGTTAGGAATAATGCTAAGTAGTTCAGATGGACTGCTTAAAGAAACAGTCCGTCTGAACTATTTTCGACAGGTTAATTTTACATTATCATAAAACTGCACACAATATGCCTTTGATTTGCATAATTAAATGACAAAACTTAATTTTTTTTTTTTTATTTAAAGGGGCCCTTTGGAGCTTTCTGAGATTGTATGTTTTTGTTGTTATATTGCGTAGTAGGTGCAAGTTAATATGTATACAAAGTTTTAGATTACACAACCGTTTATTAAGCAGATGGCATTAGAAATATAACGGGACTACTTTCTCTTAGTAGACAATCCCCCATTCCCTCCCCATCGCTAAAACTTGACCAATGGAAATGCTGCAACTCGCGGGGAATGCAAACGTTATTATTGCAACACTTTTTAAGCTTGTTGCAAAGTAGAGTTTGAGAAAAACTTAAACTGATTGTGGTGCGGGAAACATAGTCCGCAATTATCGTTCCAAAACCAGCGAACTATGTTTTCTCCCCGCAAGCTTGTTGCTAGGGGTGATGCGTCGGCGCGTCGGCTCGTCAGCTTCCCTGGGCGTCTGGAGGCTTGCATTTGCGGGACACGTGTTCCTTCTTTCCGTGGATCCCGACTCCGAAGCCAGCTTTGCGATCCTTCCACGTCAACGAGTCAAACTTTTCCTTGTCATCTGTGGGGTGCAACTGCGTATTGCAGTAGCAGCGCGACGGTGCGGTGCGACGTACGACGGCTGCCGAGCACAAAGTCCGGGCCCCTTGACGACGGTCCGCACGTGTTCGAGAGAATCCTCCGCGAGTCGGCGGTCGGCCGCGTTGGTGACGCGCAGCGACGCCAGAAACCTTCGCTTGCTATTGACTTACGCGTAAAGAGATGCCCCTCCCGTTTTGTGGGGTCATTTCAGAAAGGGGGGCGTGCCGGGGACTTTGATAGCAATTTTTATAGGGAACTCCGCCGCGTATGGCCGTAATTTTATAATTTTTAGGATCCTTAGGGCCCGTAGATTGAGTTACCATCGCAGAACGCTCCGGAGGACCCCTTTAAGATATGCTTGCTTTGGTTGCAACCTTCAAGGCTTGCACATAGCATTCAAGCTTGCACTGAAGTTTTTTTTTCTATTCTAACATTGTATTATTGCAGGGTGATTTCTGGACAAGATGTAAGAAAGGGTGGCTGGTCGACATTCTTGATTCTCTTGATATCTGGATGTCGTTGCTAATTTGATGGTATAAACGAAACCACATTTTTTTTCCAAAAAAGTGTGTCACAAGAAGTAGTGGAACACACCTCTATGTAACAGTGGGACAAAAAAGAAAATCTGATTTTTGTGTCCCACTGTTACAAGTCTAAATGTAGGTGGACAGTTGAATTTGTACTTGTTATATTTGATTTCTGTCTGTCTCAAAAGGTTCTCCAAAATTATTCAGCTAAATTGCATCACTGTAATTTAATTATTTAGTGCAAAATACCGTAGTTTTTATTGCAGCAGGTAAGAAAACTAAGACTTTCAAAATGTGCACACACAAACCCACTTGGGAGAAGTAGCTTCCCTGCCTGTTACCTGCACCCTACCATTGTGAGTTATTGCTCTGCTGCAGTGCTGTCGTACCGCCGAGGGAAGCGCACTCAAATAGTTTGCCGTATCACATCTTGAAAATATTCAAAATTATTTGAAATTTCGTATTCAAAGGCACTTCTCTATAAATCAATGTTCTAAAGTTTTTAAGAAATAATGTGCCCATTTCATGTGCTTACTAATATCTTCTTTATTTTTTTAATTCCTGTTTACACTAAAAATTTGACCTACATAGTGTTGGTGTAAACCTTTTGAAATATGAACAGGACTCTAGGGAAGATAACATATTTAATCTAAGCCAATTGTAATTAGGAAGCGCAGTGCTTCTGTATTGCACAGTGCAAACGGCTTCATAAAAGGAAAGATGACAAAATAAAGAGTTCTTGGGTTCATAAAGCAGTACATAACAGGATGCCTCAGAAGTGTATGAAATGAAGTTACGAGCACAGCATCTTGAATAGTGTGATTTTATAGCTTCAGTTAAATAAGTGTAATCACCACTTATGCCTTGCTTAGAACAGGACTAAACACTGGTGGATTCAATCATTTCACCAGTTAGTCTCCCAACAAGATATGCAGTGATGTGATTGCTGTGCCAAACTGCACCAAGGGGCTAACCCTGCTACATCCTGCTACATTTGGATAATATATGGATAATCTGTTGGCGACGAAGCGGAAAGGAGAGTACCACTTTCGGTCACCTTTCAAAACCCAAACTAAACTGAGTAGCATAATTGAGTATGCGAGAGCTAGGTGGCTGCCTGGCACAAGGTATCCTTCATCAATACGTGAGCAAATGACATTTGAGCGAATCAACGTTTTAGCAAATAACGGGCGCGCGTGTTAACCCCCTCCCCCCCCCTCCCCCGCGCTGCACTTGCACCGCTTTGTGGCGGCAGTCTATGGCGGCTCATTACAAAAATGTTAACCCAATTGGCCCACCTGTAAACGCCGCTTCGCGGCTGCCGACTATTTGCTAAAATGTCATTCGGTGAAACATTGGTGTTATAAAATCGTCATTCGATCAAGTGAGTTCCTACCGAAATCATTTGCTACTACAAAACTCCCTATTTAACTCAAAGACTGCTCTGTCAAAGTATTGCTTACCTAGGTTTCTCTCGGTGGGCTTTCTTTCAAAAGGGACCCCTGTACGTGAAAAATCTACCGCAAAAGGAAGTTGGTGAAGAGAAGTGAGCTAAAGCAAAGTAGTTAATGTCTGCACGCTGAACCAGCACAGCGAGCTTGTTTCTCTCGACTTCAGTCTTTGCGCAACGTGCTCCAAGAACTTTTTGACTTTGGCTTGCAATGTCATCGATGCGCTCAAGTTATTTTTTTTCTGCGTGTTTGGCTTGTACCTCGCCTGCCGGCCTGACAAGCACGCGCCGCTGGACTTTTTTGTCGTATGCTGGACAGGTAGATTTTGCGTACAATTTTGGAAACCAGTTGGCGACGGAGCGGAGTGGCTTTGTTTCGGTTTCGATCGAACAGCTGTTGTCACCGCTCACGCAAAGAGGGACGAAGTTGCCCTCACGTGCACACGTGCATGCAAACATAATTGCACGACAGAGGCACCAGCGAGGACGCTTGCAATTTATTATTTGATGTTTGCCTAACTTTGATGAAAATGTGGCACGTCAGGAACCAGTAAAACAGTGGCAAGTGGTTTTTTAAAATTGTTCGGCAACGCGCCTACAGCACTGTACACTTGTTGGATTCTCGCCAGTAAAAACACAAGCAGCGAGTTCCGTCACAACGCGTCACATCATAACACAAAGTTCTCTCCGTTTGCCCAGCACTTAAAACAAATATTTTTATTTTTCTAAGAGTATCTGCTTCAAAAGTCACTTTTGCTGTTCCAAAACGCTGTTTTGGCTGCTCCAAAAGCCACTTTTGCTGCTCTAAGACACTGTATTGGCTGCTCCAAAAGCCACTTTTGCTGCTCTAAGACACTGTATTGGCTGCTCCAAATGGCACATTTTCTGCACCAAAACACTGTTTTGGCTGCTCCGAAAGATGCTCCAAAATGGCTGAGGCCAATCACGTCACTGAATATGTTTGAAAATTTTCTGAAAACGCACAACTGAAACATTTACTTTTGCACATTTCATTGAGTTCAAAATGCATATCTTTTGCAAGATATTTGTTTTATGTATTTAGAAAAGCAAGGTACTTTCATCTCTTTCTTCGTTTTCGTCATTTTAGTTTTGTATTCATTCTTTGTCAAAACATTGTGTCACGAGAAACTATATGGTTACATTGATAACTAAACATGTCAGAAGTCTGAGGTACATTCAGTGTGATTTAGCCCTTTCATCATTGTGAAGCTTTGTTATCTACATTCCATCTGACACTTAGTCATTTTCCATCTTTTTAGATAATTAAGCAGCTTGTCACCCTCTGACAGATGAAAGGCATTCACCTGTTATATTTGAAGATACATACATTTGGGGAATAGTCTTTACACCTCACGGAAAGAGGTTTCGATTTCAGTTCTGTATCGCTGCCTTAGAGAAACATTCTGTTGTGGGCAACTATGAAGGGACACTGGTAAATAAATGTTTCAGAAGTCTGAGGAACATTAAGTAGGATTTAACCACGCCATGATTGAATAGCTTCATCATATATGTTCTATCTGACATTTTCCAGTCTTCCAGCTGTCTAGATAATTACGCAGCTTGAAGTTGGTTACCCATGTGACAGATGGAAAGCATTTGCCTGTCACATTTGAAGATACATCTGAGGGATTGGCTTTACATCTTATAGAAAGACGTTGAAGGTTTTATTTGTTTGAGAATTTAATCTTGATTTGATGCACATTATTTGATTTCTATTATTCTTTGCCTCTTTGGCAACTTAATTTAAAGGGTGTGGCCATGCACCTGACCCCTATTCTAGAGAATAAGGGTCAAAATTATTTATTTTTTAACAATTTGGTTAAAACACGCGTAACCAAAAATTGATTTTACGCAAAAAGAAATATCTTTTTTAGCAATATTGATGATGCAAGATTTATTTTAAATTCTGCGCGCAAAGTCTATGACGTCACAGAATGGTCATACACGCTTTCCACCTCAACGAGATGGTCATGCACTCTCCACCTCAACATGATGGCCAAGCCGATCCACCTTTCCTCCACGTGCCCTAAATGCTGAGAGAGAAAACAAGTGGAAAGGAGGTGACTACTGACTAAGTCGTGTCTCTCACCGTCAATATTCCTCTAAAAAATTTTTTATTTTTTTGCAGTAAATTTGTTTTTTGACATGCGTGGTCCCAACTAGACTGTTTAAAAAGAATTTTTTTTTCTCTCAGTGACTTTTAATATTGGAGAACTTGTGAAGTCTGTGCACTTCCCTAACTGCCTACAAGTTAGGGGTGTGCGCATATAAAGTATTTGACTGAATTGAATATGAATACTTAAGAGCAACTGGAAATCAAAATAAATATCTTTGAATATGAATATTTTTACATTCAACGTCCACTGAGCATGTATACTTTTACAAATCGCTGCTGAAGAAATGTTTTGTCTAATATAGGATGGCATCATGTCTCATTTCTAATTATGCCTCTTTTTGTAGCACAAGGAAAAATCACAGACATTATTTGTGAGATCTTTGGAGTGAACCATGGCTATTGGGGGACGGCTGCTTCCTTCTTGGCCAAAGCAAGTGGAATTTTTTTGTGGTAGTCAAACTCAAACAAAATATTATTTCAATTTGATGAGATCACTGTTAGATCTCTGCAGTGTGAAGGGCATCTACAATACCGAGTTAAACAAAAAAGATGTGGCCTTTCAAGAACAGGATTAAGAAGTTTTATGTTGCGGGAAACCTTTGCTTTGTGTGCGATGCTTAAACAATCGAGAGTGAATTCTTGTCTGTGACATATGCAGAGTCTAGGTTAGGCATTGGGTGATAAGCTTCTAGGGCCGGACATGGAATGTCACAAGCAGATTTTAGTGTTGTCAGAAAAGATGAACTACCCCATGCCACGTACAGGTCCTAGTTCATGCACTCAAGCTGTCGTCAGTACCTTGTAATTAGCCAATTTTAATCATAGGCACAACATTGAGATAAGACTAAGAATTAGCTGGGGAGAATAACCTTGTAAAATACCAGGTAGTAGTGTAGACAAAAGAAAAGCTTTCAACAACTATGGAAAAGTCCTAGTTCTGATTATGTAATTTATGTACAGAATAATAGCTGTACATACAATTTTAGTCACTGTGCCTTCAAGGTATACTACCACAGTACTTCAGTCTCTGATCTGGGAACTCTACCAATTTCTACTTTGTAACTTTTTTCTGCTGTAGGTATCACAGCTATTCTGAAGTGGTGCTACAGACCATAAGAAGTTAGTGATAAACTGAATACCTGTACTTATTTACTGTTAACAACTTCATTTTTGCGGGCCCAATGTTTTGTGAATTTGGGCTAGTGTGTATTCAGGAATATCTTGGACGTACAGACTTTTGCAGTTGGGAGTGGTACTACACTATGTATTAGTTACCATAGAGTAATATATGTTCATGGGATCTATTTATTACAATAGTTTTTAATTTGCGAAAGTTACGTCCCCATGAAAATGAAGTCGTTTACAGTATACTGTTGAGACCGGTTATAACGAAGTCAACGGGAATAGGAAATCACTTTGCTATATTCGCTATTTCGTTATAAACGACTTCGGTTAAAGGGAAACTGAAGCGGTTCTGTATTTGGGAAAAAACACTTCAATGGCCTTCATTCTACCTCCAGGATCAGGAATATCGAGATTATTTTTTAATTTGGTGCACAGAGGCTTCAGAAATTAATTTTTAAAGTACCGCCGAAGCCCCTCCTTCCCGGGGCGTGACGTCACACTAGGAGTTTTCGGAATCTCTGCTCTCGCGGATCTTCAGCGCCTGTCAAGGCCATGCACGCGCACTCTTGCTATTTTCAAAAAGGTCAGAAAGAGACGACACGACTGCCGTCAGCGCAGAAGAATATACCTGGCAAGCTTGCCCTTGCACGCGCTGTCCACACAAGCGGCACGCGCTTGGCCGCCCAAAGATCCTAGTATGACGTCACGACTGGTCGGAGGTTTTTCGCGTTTTCTCGCTTTTAGTTGCATCTTCAGGGAAAACAAATGTGATATTCGGATTCACGGGATAAAAATACGCCAGAATTCACCTCTAACCCGTTTTTTTCAAGACGTGTTTCAGCTTCCCTTTAACGAGGTTCAAAAGAGAATGGGAAGACATGTTCGCTTCGCTGTAGCCGCTATTTCGTTATAACTGACTTCGTTATAACCAATCTCGGCAGTATACCAGTTGTTATTCTTTTGGCGCTGTTCTTTCAGATTAAAGGGCAACTTATAATTGTGATTTAAAATGGTCAGCCTATAGACATTTTCCACAAGGGCGCCGCCATCTTGAATTGTCGTCACTTCCAGTATGGGCGACGACAAAATAGTAAAACATTTCAACCTCTAACCAGTAAAAAAATTGAGGGGAGCCAAATCGAGAATGTGTGGCGGTTAGGCTTATATCCTAAATGTCTTCTATTGGCGTGGCGACGGCAAAGTTGTGTTTTCGCCCATACTGGAAGTGACGTCAATTCAAGATGGCGGCGCCCTTGTGGAAAAGGTCTATAATAGTGAGCAAAAGTTCTGAGCCCAACGAGTCAATCGAGACGTTCTGCTGCAACAGCAGCTTTTCGAGCATGCTGGTGCCAAGTGGTGACACTTGAAATGCACGTGGAAGTTTGAGGGCACAACTTCGTTTCTGCAAGTGATCCAAACAAAAATGCTGAAACTTTTTGACCGTGAGCAGCAACATACCTGAACGGTCAGCAACCATGTTCGGAAACAAAAAAAGAAACCTTGAAAGTTTTTAGTTTTGTCCAGTATTTTGTATAGGCTTTTTATCGTATGGTGAATTGATTTTCAATGATTGTATGCTCTTTCAAAATCTTCCAGGCTGACATGCAAGGTGCAGTGCAGGAAATCAATGAAAAGCACTTGGCACCCTGGGCAGAAGCTTGTCAGAAGGATGCCATAGCAAACACTCCTCTGTCTCCTTATCTGAGCCAAGTGAGTTTTCCCATAGAAACATTTTGTTTTCTGTTCACTCAAAAATGGCTGTCCCTGTGTTTTAAGCCACTTCTGGTGCCACTTGATATACAGACTTCAACCATGTGAAGGACCCATTTGATTAGACAGTTTTAGGTGGCTGTGCTGGATTAGCTTTGGCTACCCACATTGCTTGGGGGCAGTAAATAAAAGAATGTTTTGTTTTTCTCTTCATCATAAAATAAAGTGTCCCTGACCAACATGCTCTTAGCACCGCCGCGTGAACTGTGTGGCGGACAGGCCTTTTATATTATGGGAGTTTGTACGCACTGTGGTAAAGTGCCACCTTGAGAAGGAATACAACTATCTAGCAGGCTCGTCTTATTCAGACAGCATGAGCAGGAAGTAGCAGTTACAGCACCTTAGCACTCTGACTTAAATGTTTGCAGTGTGGGAATAGGGGTTAGTCTAAGTAATGTAAGCTACTGCCACTATGTACCATCCGTCCATTTAGCTGCAGGTGCTGAAGAGATTGCAAGCCCTTAAATCGAAACTAGAGATTTCATAGTGCAGGTTTCGAGAGAGTTAAGTGTTAAGAGTTACCTTTTAATGGTAGTTTTGCCACGAGGCAATTCAGTTCCAAAGCAACCTTCATCCAGTGCAAGGTTCTTAATCGCTACGCTCACTAGGCGTTATTCAGTGCTGTTTCCTCGTGGCACTATGATTGAACGAATGAAAGGAATCAAACAGCTTTTCTCCTTTGAAAGATTCGTCCTCGTTATACTAAATAGACTTGAGCAAGCTGTGTCTTGCACTAGAAAGAGCCATTCTACTTGCCACTGACAGATTATCCTCTCGTGGCTGCGCACTGCTCTGGCCTCGTTCGATTTTAATGTGTTGGTTCTGCTCTTCCCTTTCGGTCTTCATTGAACAGAAGAGCATACCTGCCAACTCTTCCGAATTTTTCGTAAAATGTATGAATTGGGACAAAGTTTACGATTTTACGAATCTTGCTTCAAATCTTACGAAAAATATATTTTTAAATATTTTTAATCTTTTTTTTTTTCTGTTTTTGTAACTCCGTTCTTGGCGGTATCTTGCACCGCCGCAAGAGGACGATAGGTACCGTCCACAGCAGCGTCGTGGTTTTTACTATCCGTCTATCCGGTGGCCACGGATCGAAAACTAATCCAAAGCTCAAAGCCTTTGTTCGTGTGTTCGGCGGTGCTCGGGTGCACGTTGGTTCGGTGTGTTCAGGCTTTGTCGAGCCTCGTTGCTTCGGCCAGTTTCGAGGCGAGAAGTACGGCGTCTGTGTTTGTTCCACATGTCCTGGTAACTGTGGCTTCGCGGCGCAATGCCGAACTCCAAACCTCAAAAGAGGCACTTTCAGGTGTTCTTGAAGTCCTACACATCGAAATTTCTGTGCTTTGTGCTGCCCAAAAAGCGAGAGAAGTATGGATTCTGTAGCACGTGCACGTGTGATGTAAGCGTTTTGCACGCTGGCCAGGCTGACATTAAGCTGCACATCGCTTCGCGTAACACCCCCCCCCCCGGCGCGGCTGCGAAACTTTTACGAATTTGAAAGTCCACAGGTTGGCAGGTATGGAAGAGGGCTTATTGCCCTCGTAAGAACCCCACAATAATTTTTCTCTTTCCATTTCTTGCGGCAACATTGCGGTGCCTAAAGCATGTCTCCGACTGGTGCGTATAGCGTCTTATTCCTCCCGTATATATCAAAAGTGGTCTTGAAGTGGCAACAAATGGTGTTGCGGAAGCCGGAGCGTCACGCCGTCATCACCTTAGCGTCGCTGTCATAGCGGCATCCCAACTTCGTCCCGCCGAAGCTTACGTGGACCATCAAACTAAAGAACGACCTGCGGCAGAACAGGCTTCTGCCACGTTCACCACCGCTCCTGGGACACTGTCAGGGTCGCGAACAGTGACACCATGACACTTGTGTGACGTCGCCGGCTGGAAATCAAGCGGTAGAAGAAAGATGCAGCAAACGCACCAGTCGGAAATGCGCTCCAGGCACCATAAGGTTAGCCCGTGGCTAATTCGCAAGTGGTCCCATCATTAGAGGCTCAAATAGCGATCAGTGAGATGGCCCAAAATAAAGATGTTTCGTCTTTGTAACTGGAATCTGCCCATGACGACCGATTTAATCCTTGTTGCACTTTGTTTGAGGAAGTATGGTCCGAAAATGATTGCGAGGTCTTTTTAACGTGTGTATACTCTTGCAGCAGCTGTAGCTTTGTTTGACTACTGTGGCCTGTAAAGCCTGGGTGTTGCTGGCAGTAAACTTTCGTCATTCTTCTTCTTAGCTGGTGGCTTGGTTTGTTGGCGTACGATGGATGCTTTTTGAGGGTTCCGGGTTAAAGGCATTTATTTACTTTACAAACTTTGTACAAATTAGGTACAAGTAAGGGAAGTTTGCATCTCCGTCAAACTTCCTTACGTTCGTTCCAAAACAAGCGAAAATTGCCCCTTCCCGCCCCGTCGCAAGCTTTTGAAACATCGGTCCTTCTTGCCCTCGGGAAGGGACCGGCCAATAGGTGTGAATCCTCTCAGAGTCACATGCTGCCCCCTGTCCAATGGCCGACATGGCGCGTACAGGCACATTTGTCAAGTTCCCAGCGGACTTGAGGTGACAGCCCCGTAACTTTGACAGTGGTTGCCGTCGCCGTCTTTGTGGCGCCACAGCAAGCCCCCTAGTCGAAACCCTATCGGCAATGGGGGATGCACCAAGCAGTAGCCGCCTTTGTATACAAACAAAAAGAAAACACTCCTCGCGCACAGTGAACGCCCCGGGGGGGTGTCCAACATGCCTCGCCCCAAGACGCGCTCGTGGCGGACGTGCGGCCGCTAACAAAATAGACAAAACACCCCGCGGCTTCGCCCAATCTTACATGGTGCTCGGAGCAGAATCGCAAAATGGTGCTCTAGCACGAGCTGTGTGCGCTCCAGCGAAACGGTGTGAGAAACCGAGCGACCTCCACACATTAGTTTGCTTTAAAATGTAAGCTTTTGTTAAGGGGGGACGCTACCCAGAAAAAAACAATTTATGCAAAAAAAGTTGATTTTGAAAAATGTCATATTTACATCCACCAACGTCTAGAGAGTATTCCCAGAAAGTTTCGTTAGTTTACACTCCATAGTTAATTTTTTATAAATTATTTTCGATTCACCGATGTTAAAGAAGAGGTAGGGGGGTTGGAGCACTTTGAACCACATTTTCCTCCGTTCCACTTTTCGGCATAAATTTCACTTTGGGAAAACTATTGCAATGTTTTCCTATTACGCAATAGAGAATTATTCTTAGGTGGTTTTCTGGGACAGAATTTTGTGAGGAACATGCCTGGCTTGTTAGTTTTTCTACTTTAACATTCTTTTTTGCTAAAACATAAACATTTGTAAAATGCAGACATGAAAAGAAAAAAAAGTTAATCTTCTTACAGAGTTAGACTTATGAAAAGCAATGCAATATAGCAAAATAACTAGCTGGGTATGTGCTATGGGTATTCCTATGACTAATTACACATACAAATCAAAAACTTTTGTTTTATTTTAAATTTATAGTTTTTCTAAGCATACACACTGATTTCCTTATTGTAACGTTCATAACAAGTTTCAGAAGTAACATAGCACAGTGAAATTCGGCAGGGACGGTCTGGCCACTTGTGTAAACTTCCACTGCAAATTTAATTGAAATAAGTTAAGCGGTACGGAAATGACTGACGCAGCTGGCCAGAAATAATGTGCTAGTATTCTACGAGTACTCCTAATTTTTTTAGGCTATTTTGTTCAGAGCTAGGGCTGTGGGTGTATACGGTACCTCTGGAAGAGTGTGCACGAAAACAAAATATTGAAATAGTGCTGCTGTCACTTTGCCTCGTCCTTCAGGAGTTGCTCTACGACAAAAATCTCTGCATGGATGGGAGCAAGCTTCAAAGCATCGGCTTCACCTACCGTGTTCCCGAGATCAACAAAGACTGCATTAACGAGGTGAGCACAGGCACATAAACATGCTTATCTTCATTAATTATAATAATTCTTACATGCGTTTACCGAAGAACAGAGGTAAGTGTATTGCATACATTGTTCCTCTGCTGTGACTATAGCCACGAAGGTATTGGGGTGAAGTTCATAACAGTGTTGATAATATGGCTAGTTGTGCCATTTGATACACTGCTTCAAAGGATCAGTGCCAACAAAAGCAGGGGACTGAGGTCAGGCATGCCAGTCGATAAGCAGTCATATTTCTAAACAAAGTGATGAGTTGCATTGTATTTTTTTCAGATAATCGACGACTACATTGAGATGAACATTTTTCCAAAGTCGCTGATCAAATGACGAGGCAAAGCAAGCAGAGGAGCTAATCGAGCTAGTCAGCTGCTGTTCATCTAGGACACCAAGTGCCTCTGGGTAACACTCAGTCTAAAAAAATTGCCATTAACCAGTTGCAATGCAGCCCCGGTGCTCAATAGCATTTTTTTTATGGTATTTACACCTTGTTGCTTTTTGAGGTCTGCATTTTGTTGAACATTCTTATTCCAACCTTACATTCCTCTAAAGGCATTTACGCTCCTCTAAAGGCAATATATTGCACTGTTGAAACGTTTTACGCACTGTCTTTACACAATTCCGACCATGGTCTTCACAGAGCGTTATTGTGATATCGACACGATAATAAAGACCGTGAGAAAATGTGCATGTTATTGTTTGTGAGTACACCGTTTAATCTTCAACGTTGGGCAATTAAGCAGCGTACATAATCTGTATTTTATTGTGCCATAATGGCGCCCCAGTAGAAACCCGACTCACTAGATGACTTCTTAGAAAAACGAAAATTTGTAGAATAAAACACTGGGCACCGAGCCAGGAAGCATACCTTATCTAGAGTGATAGAGGAGCTATGGAGGTGTCATATGGTGCTAGAAGATTAGTCTCATAGATGACAAGCTGTGACCTGCTGTGCACAAAAAGTTTATGGATGAATGTTTTGGGAGCATGCAGCCTAAGTGCACCAATGCCTACACTTGTTTTCACCTAAAAAAAAAAATGGAAGTTTTTTGGCATTTGAAACATGTACGTCTTGATAGGATAACATATATCTAATCTCAAATTCACATACATTATCTTAATTCTTTACGCAAAGGGGAAAAGAGTATGAATGCTTTGCGAGGAGCCGGACTTTTTTTTACTAGGGTTCTTAAGGTGAAAACGAGTATAGAACTACATCTTCGACTTAATTTGTTCTACTGTGGGATGTCTTTCTTGTCCATGCCAAAGAGGTGGATGAGCTCGTCTTCCGTGAACTGGATTATTCTTGTCGACTCCAGGTGGATCTGCGAGTATCGGAGCACAGCAGTCAGATTTCAACACCTGTTCCTAAACGGAAGAGCTGCCTCAGAAAAAGATCTCACCAACCTTTTGCCTTTTCAGCACATCAATCAACTTCATTTGCTTCTTGATGAGAGCTAGCAGGTCAGCTTTCTGCTTTTCAAGCTGTTGGTTTTTTTCCACAAGTTCTGCCATGGTTTTGTCCTGGGGCCTGTTGTCCTGAAAGTTTGGAGTTTCTTGAAAACTTTTCCTTAATGCATTATGAGTGGGACAGATCCTAGAATAGTCTCATCATTAATATGGATGTTCTAGAATTCAAGCTTTTGTGCTCAACTCTTTTTTATTGACAGAATTTTGGCTGCTTAATTGAGCGTGAATATTTCTTCTTTTCACATACCGTTAAGTTTTGAAAAGGTACCCACCTAAAATGAAGAGCTAAATAGTGAAAAACATGGGATAGGCTATCTTTGGGGATGCCACAGCAGAACTTTATCAAAAATTAATGATAAACTCTATGGCACCGGCCACAAACCACGTGACACAGGAACTGATACTGCAGATTACGGAAACCGCGGATTCGCGTTTCATGATGCGATAAACACGCGGGAGTTCACTAGGAACTCTTATGTCACGGGGAAAGATGTTGCAGGTTGCGGACGCAGCACATTCGTGTTTCACGATGCAAAGGACCTGCGGAAACCCGCCGAGATCTCTCATCTCACGGGAACGAATCGCGGATGCAGCAGATTCAAGTATTATGGTACAAAAAACACGCGAGAACCTGCCACGAACTTGGCCTGTCATATGAACCGATATCACTCGCGCAGATCGCGGACAAAAATGTGAAAATCCGCTACAAGCTCGTATGTTACAAAAACAAATACTGCAGATCGCGAATGCAGCAGAATCGTATTTCACGATGCAATATACACGCAGGACCAACTTGCATGGAATCGAGATTGCGCGCTCACTGGCGGACAAAAACGCAGGAATCCACTATGAGCATGCTTGTCAGACGTTCCGGAACAGCTAATTGCGAGGTTGATACATCCAACGGGAATTTTCGGAATTTTTATGTTAAGTATTGCCAGAAAAGTGGGATGGGAGCAATCTCGGGGGCGTTCTCTCGGAACTTTATGGTATGTTGCAAATTATTATATCGCAAAACTTCATTCAAATCGAGATTTCTCTTTCATAGCAATCGAAGATCCTTTGAAGGAGTTTTTAATGTGAAAGCATTAACTGGTCTCATGGAGTAAGCCGCGCCAAACGGCACCTTAAATCCTTTCTTTAAGTGAAGCCAGCTCCCAGCTATGAAACCACGTGAAAAGCTAGCCAACGGCAGCTGAATTCCTCTATCCCCAAGGAGCGGAGTAAAGCTGATTGATTTTCGGCTTCGGTCCCATTGGCTGGCACATGTCATTGGCTGGCACATGTCGACGAGGCTCCCATTGGCCGCTGCGCATCAGTTTCAACGACCACTCACCTCATGGCGCTGCGTGACCAGCGACGAAAAGTATGCATTAGACGAAAGAAGGGAGCGGACGAGTGGCTTTGCATGCTTTCGCATTCACAACTCGTAAGAAGTGCTTAGGTGTACCTTGAGCCTTTTTATGTACTGTGCTCAACGAAATTAATTGGACCAATGGGAGCGCATGGCCCCGCATACCTGTTGTGCCATCTGCCAAGGGAAGCGGTCTATCTGGTGTCACGAGTTGCATGTGCGCACAGCTGAGCCAAGCACTCGGCAGTTGTTCATGCTCGGTGCACAACCCCTGATAGCTGTTCAATGCTAGCCATAAGTTTGCAACATGACAGTGTTTTTTTGTTTTGTTTTCTGATCAGTAGCATAAACAGATTTAAGTTTCCAAAGGTTAAAGTTGTAAAAAACGTGACCACCCCTCGATGTGATCTCGCAGTTCATACTAAATAAATGTGTAGCGTCATGGCACATGTGTCCTTTTTGTAGACTAAATAAATAAGATATCTTCCTTTTTCGCTGTTTTCTTTGAAGGACAGATAAAAATTGCTAGTGTAACGCGATGAATAAAAAAAACGTTAAGCTCTAGATTCATGCTTTATAGTAATTGCGTATCGAGGGTTGCATATAGAACGCGAACAGCCGCTGACTGCTCGACATAGCTACGCACATGTGCGACTGTTGACGCCAGATTAACGGCTTCTCCGGGCAGATGCCGCAGCAGGTACGCTTAGCGTGACCACCCGTCCCGCGACTCGCGGGACCGTCCCGCATAGAGGGCTCGTGTCCCGCGTCCCTCAAGAAATTTACAAACAAGCCTTCAAAATGTCCGGCATTTCGCACTGTTGTAAAATTCACTCCGCAACTCATGGTGCCGCCGAACAACGGGGCACGGGAAAGCGCGGAGGTCGCTGGTAATCCTGTGAATCGCAGTGGTATGACATTTTCTATCAAAGCATTTCGAGAAGTAACCGTCGTTCTTGTAGTAGAATTGACGTGCATGCTTCGTTGTGCCTCTCCCCTTGGTGGCAAAATACTCTAAGAAAAATTGCCCGGCAAAAGTTTAAATATAAGATACTGTAATTATTTTGAAATCGCTGTGTCAATGCAAAAAAAAAATTCCGCAGAATTTTTTTTTTTTAATGAAGACAGTTACGGGAGGCAAAAAGCTTTCAACTCACAATGGTTGAAAAAGAACATCATGTTAAAAATTTGCGTAGGACCATGTTGATAATTTGTAAGCGTTGACAGGAAACAATAACTTGAAAAAGATTTACTGTTTCTTATTTCCATTTGATGCATTGAGTTCTGCTACAGTCGATTTTTATGTTTTCAACTTCGACACATTTAAGAACACATTTGGCTTAAAAAAATGTATCACTGGGAGTGCAAATTATTTGAGCTTAATTGCTGCAATACAATTAGCAGGTGTATAAACAGCAAAGGATATTAAATGTGTGAACAGGCCTCGGTTTGTGGTGTGCGTTAACAGGCCTCGGTTTGTGGTGTGTTAACAGGCCTCGGTTTGTGGTGCGCTAACAGGAAGGTAGTCACCCTAGGCACGCTAGGGCACTCGTCCGCTGGTTCATTTCATTGAGCACTGTACCGTATTTAGTTCATTGTTAAATTAATGTTGATGAATACGGCCCTTGCATACACTAGTATGCCCTCAAACACAGAAGGTAGGGGTGCCAATCATAGCCTGGTAAATGACGAGATGGAGTTGCCGTAAAATATCTTGCATGCACCCATGTCACAATCGGCACCCTCCTTATACTTTTGAAACCATTGAAATATGTGTAAGCAAATGACATACCAAGCGCCCGCTCGGTAAACCTTCTACCAAGCTAACCAAGATGCTCCTCTGCGTCAGTTGTTTCTTCAAGCATGCCGGTGCAAAATGGCAAAGCCCTCTGCGTCAGTTGTTTCTCCAAGCACGCCGGTGGAAAGTGGCAAAGCTTTACACATGTGCGCACGTGCGAACCTGACGTGAAAGCACAGGCATAAACCGTGTTTGACAAGAGGTGTGTCTGTTTTAAAAATTAAGGGTTCTGCCATATGCCTATACTGCTCCTGTACCATTTTGTCAGGTCCAAAAACCAATCTAAGGCCAATCCTACCACATGCCACTTCTGCTTTTCTCCTCTTGGACCTAAGAAGTGCCTTTATTCGTTCCACTCGCAATTGTCACCAATGTTTGGGTGGTCACTTGCTCGGTATTTTATAGTAAATGTTTTCCTGTGAAAACGCCATCTGCATTGTGACACTGAGTGTGACACTGAGTGTGACACTGAGTGTGACACTTCATGGGGTCCGAATTCAGTACTGATTGAATTCTTTGACAGTAAACATTTGGGTGTATCTCGAAACAACCCATTCTTATTTGAACCCTTCTCATTTGAACCCATTCGCAAAACGCCCTTCTCGTTTTAACCTTTCGCGTTTCGACCCTTTCTTATTTATACCCGTCTCATTTGAACCCATTCTCATTTGAACCCTTCTCGTCTGAACCCATTCGCAAAACGCCCTTCGCATTTTAACCTTTCGCGTTTCAACCCTTTCTCATTTGAACCCGTTGTCATTTGAACACCGTAGTGAGGTATAGAGAAAGGAAAAACAGTTAAGGATGAAGGTTGAAGATGAAGCGAAGCGGCACCATCTCTTGCATAGCACATGAAACAATTTCCCTTATGCCTGCGTGCCACCCCGAGTCTGTTGACGTAGCTACGTGGTCACATGGTGACGTGGTTTCAAAAGTGCTAGCGCAGATTCGGTACTTCATTTCTCTTCTGTCGCTGTATGTCGTAAGATGTCGTCGTGTGGAGCGGATGGATCATTGTGCTAGTCGTGTGTTATTGCTTGTAATGGCCCATTCGGGTGTTCATTTTCCCTGAAAAAAAGTTTTCCCATATCTTCGGTAAGGGCGTTCACGTGGTCAAAGGCTGGCGGGTGCAAGCTTTTCGGGTTGCGCTTCTCAGGCGTGTACCGGCTATTTACCAGCAGAAGTTTTCCCGAGCTCCAAGAGCTCGGCCAGCTTGTCTGCCAGTCTGTATCCAGTATCGTCACATCCGGATCGGGATAGGGAACCAAACGAAACAATGCTCGCTGAGGCGGCAAATAGCGGGTTCGAGTGGAAAATGAAGCCATCGAACAGGCACCTTTTTGTGCTCTGTGACAAGATAGCGAAAACAACGAAGAGAAATATAATTTATGCTTCAAAGAAAGTCAACATTTTTGGAAGAATTTATCCAGCATGAGCAAGGTACGTTTGCTCTCAGACACGGGCTGCATCATACATCACTTTATTTTACAACTATGTAATAACAAGTTATTACACCGCTGAAAAAGAAGTATGCAGAGTGATGCAGTTTGAAGCTTCAACACGCATTACAATTTCAAGGAGGGTGGGTGCAATGAGAAGACTGAGGATTCCAATAAAGGTACCAGAGAGTTTTAGTAGATCATTCCGAAACCCCCAATAGCCCCGATAACGATACTATGCATGCGCAAGGGAGGCGGTGGCGCAGTATCGGGTATCGTTATCGGAGTCATTGGAACGATCTACAAAAACTCTCTACTAACAGTAAACAGAATATGGAAAGCGACGCTGGCAAGCCTCCGTGGCAACAGTTAATCGAAAATCCAAAAGAAGTTTATTGAAATTTGACGCGCGTGCGGGCAGCACCACACTGATTTATACATCTGCCCCTTCATTGATTTTATATTTTAATATTCTGTC